ATCTTTTATTGGTACATATTAAAAATATGATTAAGTCCTAGTTTGTGGCTCGAGGTGGACAATATTTTAAAAATTGCTGTAAACCGGTGACTTCTGAACATAAGTGAGCTCAAATCTCCAGCCCATTTCTTGCAAGGTTTGAGCAGCATCAGCTGAAGAGTTAAGTGTCAACTGCATTACCTCAAATATATAGAACCTTTTCCTCCCTTTAAGTTACAGCATTACTCTAAATGACTGCGAACTTATGGCTGTGAATCCACCTTTGACCATGAATAATATGAACCTGGGACACATCTTCCACAATAAGATTTATCCACAAGTTCTTTGCATTTCCCTCCTAAAGAGGTAAATTAACACATCTAGACGAACAGTCATTTCTGGTTCCAACGCAGCCTCAGAATACACAGCTTGGCTCCCCACAGTTCTCGCTGATAGTGTGGCAGTTTGAGAACCAGCTTTACAAAGGCCATGTTCGCGGTTTCACAATGCTGCACATTTCCTTAGTCTGATTTGTCCTTCCTCTTCCCACGAAAAGGTACTTTACTTGTTACGCTAGAGCTGATAGCAGACACCCCGCCTGCTACTGCTACTGCTAACACTCCGCCCTTGACCTTCATCTGATTGTTTGGGAATTTTTCCATTCAATTGTTACTTTTCCAGTAATTTGTCTAATCCACCTGAATTACTAGGAAATTCAAAAAACTGTAGACACCTATTTCCATTACACCTTCTATTCCAGTTTCTGAGATACAAATTCAGCTCGTCCCCTCCCCTCTATCTGCGGCCATGTCTTCAGCCATTACACCCCAAATCTCTGCAACTCCCTGCTACAATCCCTCCCCCTTGCTCCCTCTTCAGAACCCACCCGAAGATGTTCCTCGTCAATTATGCATATGGTCACCTTCCCTTTCTCCCCAGCTCATAAGAACATAAGAATTAGGAGCAGGAGTAGTCCATTCGGCCCCTCTAGCCTGCCCCATCATTCAATAAGATCATGGCTGATCTATTCTAACTCCACCTACCCGCCTTATCCACATATTCCTTAATCCCTTTATCTACAAGAAATCTATCAATCTCAGTCTTGAATATGTTCAAGAACTGAGCATCTACAGCCCTTTGGGGTAGAGAATTCCATAAATTCACTACCCTCTGAGTGAAGAAGTTTTTCCTCAACTCGGTGTGAAAGGGCTTACCCCTAATTTTAGGACTGTGACCCCTGGTTATAGTTTCTCCAAACAGGGGAAAAAGCCTCCCACTATCTATTCTGTCGTGCCCCTTAATAATCGTATAGGTTTCTATAGCTCAATGTTAAACTGTGCTATTGTTCAGTGCTCCAAGACTCTATGCCGTATGAAGGACTATATAAATACAAGTAGTCATTGATGTTGTCTAATTGTTCACTATGGAATTTAATCATCTGAGTTACTCCTTTCAGTACCCAATGTCAATATTCAGAGTTTATATATTTGTTCATATATCCAGCACTCAGTGCTTACCTCGATTGGTATGTAGAGGTAAAATTAGTCATTCCATTCATGGTTGCTTATTGTGCAAGAGAATGATGGCAATGCTCTCATACATTTAATGCAGAGTTTGCTACTCACAAGGAGTTCCTGATTCCTGCTATCAACCTTGCGACGTCTCAAACCTACACTTATATATCTAAATGCCAACTCCTCCTTGGAGGTGAGGGAGGGAGGAAAGTAAGCAAGGTTTCTTTGGAGCTGAGCTGACAAAATGATATGGGGTGGTATGTCTGACAACGCCTGGATTTCAGAATGATACTCGGTGGTGGTCTAAGTAGTCTGTTGCCTGAACCGCAGTACTCCAAGATACTCTGGACTTGAGAGTCGTGAAAACAGACAATTTCCAGCTCATCATGATCCACACTGACTGGAGTTTTGAAGAACCAATGGAGCCAGTGCATTTTGTTTTTCTGGGGTAGGTAAATGTCAGGGTCACACCCCCATCTCCCCCCCAAAAATATATGTGAATCTGTGTTATAGTGAAGGGTGTTGTAATGGGATTCTACTACACTGGGAGGCCACAGTGAACAATAGAATGAGGACTACATGGAAGGGTTAAGTTTGCGTTTTTTTTTTAAAAGGGATTTCTTATTTTAAAAGCGATGTGATGCTGAATCATGGGAACAATACACCTGACCCATTTTTGGAGCCAGGTTTGCACAAGTTGAGGGGGAGTATTTTTGGGAGTGAGCTATGTATCTGATCAGTTAAAACCATGCAGTTTACCACTGCGAACACTGGCAATCTTCCTGCTGCTTGTCCAGCTAGAACAACCCTTCCTGTTAGGGGTTTGGCTTGCAGGGTTAACAGGAGCTGAGTGGGAAGAATCCCTTCCCCCAGTGATCAGTCAGCCCCTCCCAAGTCTTGAAGTACTTCAGATCTGCCTGGCTTAGGAACCAGACTACTGAGACCACCATAGAGAATCAATTCAATTCCAACATTCGTTTGTCAGTACACAGCTGCTGTTTTGTATGGCAAATCAACAACAACAACAACAACAAGATTCCATTTATAGAGCGCCTTTCACGTCAGGAGCACGTACCAAGGCGCTGCACAGTTGGGTCATGACCCGAGCAGGGGGGAAATGGTCAGGGTGAGGGGAGGGAAGGGAGGGAGCGAGGAGGAGGAAGAGAGTCGAGAGGGGAGCTGAAGGCACGGTCAAAGAGAATAGAAGAGAAATAGAGCTTGTCAGCATTTTGCTTGCTTGTACAGTGAATGAGAAAACACTGACTATCAATCCCAGTTATAGTGCTGTTTGGGATTTTAAGGACATCAATTACTACATTATACTGGATCTCCATGGTAATACATGAGAGAACATGACAACAATGAGATACAAACATGACTTGGAGAATTGGGTTCCTTTGTATCAAAAAAGAGTTAAGACCCTTCACCACATCGGATCATTAGAAAAATCACTACATAGAGTGACTGATCCGTACTAATCAAGTTGAACTAAGACTGCTTGATTTCAGTGGATACTATTGTTGTTGGTATATCTTGAGCCATATAAACCAAGAAAGCCTCAGGTTTCATTCCTGGTCTGTGTTGCGTTTCACCCACAAAATATACAGTCAATTAACTTTACAGTATATTCTGTGAAGTGCTTAAGAGAGGCCTCGAAGACATGATAAGGCGCTATATCAAATGCAAAGATTATTTTTATCTGAATCAGGGCAGCAGAGGGAGTGCTAACATTAATCCCAGTGTCCTGGATTCGGGAGAGAAAAGCCATTGGATAATCTCTATTTATTCTGTCCTCATTGGGTTCAGATGTCCTCCGCAACTTCCTTACAACAGTGGACTTATTATCATATCATAAATTATTTGGTCTCTCCTGCACCTGGTGTCATTTTATTACGTTTGCAATTCAGATTTAAGCAAGATATTTAAAATAATCATATAAAAAGATGTCCTTTTGAAAGGAGTCACTTTGGGATAAGAGGTTCAGGACCACATACTTTCATAAAATATACATTCACTGAATAATCCCTCTTCCTTCTTAAAATATTGATTGGAATATTGTTCAATACAGACAGTCAACCGAAAAACCGTTGGGGTAAATTAAATTGCTGAACCAGAAAGGGCCCAAGGCCACTCCTGCATCTCTATTGGCATTGTGTAATACCTGTGAATATCTAGTCTTCCAGCTTTCAGGTTCTCTGGACACAGTCCACTCTCAACATCCGACTTGTTCTAATTTCTGTTTGCATTCCCTTTTTGTTTTGGTTGAAGTCACTAGGTCTGTGGTGCTCCCTCTTGAAGCTGGCATGACTGAACTTTGTTACTAATTTAGGACCAAAGTCTAAATACCCAACCTGTTCATTATCTTATCTTATAGTCTTTCCTTTCGTGTTCATTTTCACTAATGTGCTGTTGTCGCGTGATGTATTAAAGAGGTCATTTAGGCTTCATTTTCTTTAATAACTGCAACAACAACAAGATTACATTTGTATAATGCCTTTCACATCGGGAGGACATCCCAAGGCGCTGGACAGAGTACAGCATTTCAGACCCAAGCTGGGGTCAGGAGGAGGTGGGAGGGGAGGGGAAGGTGGGGTGGCAGATGGCATGGTCGAAGAGGAGGGTCTTGAGACGGGACTTGAAGGAGGCTAAGGAGGGGGCGAGACGGAGTGACTGGGCAATGGAATTCCAGAGGTTGGGGGCAGAGTGGCTGAAGGCACTCCCACCAATGGTGGGGCGGGTGGGTCGGGGGACATGGAGCAGGCCAGAGCCGGCTGAGCGGAGGGAACGGGCAGGTTGGTAGGGGGTTAGGAGGTCACAGAGGTAGGGTGGGGCAAGGCCATGGAGGGCTTTGTATGTGATGACAAGGATCTTGAAATGGATCCTCTGAAGGATAGGGAGCCAGTGGAGTCGGGCGAGAGTGGGGGAGATGGGGAACTGCAAGACGATCATCTGCCAAAATGTATAACATGTCAAGTATAACATGGGATCTGGTGACTGAAAAGATCGTTGGAACTGTACCTAACACCATCCTGAGGTCTAACCCACATTTGAGTCAAATTGGTGGTCTACCCAGTACACATGTTATTGAATGGCTGGAGATAAATCGCACCCAACACAGTTATCATTGGTGAAGTCAGGTTCAAAGTGTTCGACTTCCAGCTCACGCATTGCGATCTTCAAGTGCCAGTTCATAGGATATCACCTTTTTGTATTTTCTGTTTAATAAAAACAAGGCATCCCCCTGAGAAGTCAAAGGCTGTGATCCAACTTCACTATTGAGAACAGTGATATTCAATGGAATGAATATTATATTGGCTGCAAATATGACCTCTCCATGTGCTTCTGCTAGTAAAAGGTTTCCTTATAATAGTGAATGTTGGACTTAGTTTGCACACTCATGCGGTTGGAATAGACCATTATTCTTGATAGCTCATATATGTTTTACATCCACTAAAATTAAATATCTACATGATTATTCACTTAAGATTAAATGTAAATAAATCTTACCTTCCCCATCAACACTGACGGTTTCATACGAGTCCCATCGTATCAGTGGATCGGCAGTATTGTAATCCACAGTCACGCCATGATCATTCTGAAGGTGCTCAGACCCTGTAAAAGAACAGAAGTCTGCATCATATTTACCCTTCAATGGGCTTCACATTCTCAGAAGAAGCATATACTGAACAATAATATATACAGAAATAACAATCTTACCCCAGCTAATAGATTGATTGTACATTATTCTGTTGAAGATATAAAGAGCTGTGCCCTCCGTCCATGGCGAGTCCCTTTCCAAAGCTCATTTCCAGATGGACAGAATTGAGAAAGATCTTAAAGTTTGAACGAAGGATGAATTAAGTAATCTTGAATCAAGTATCTAACTCTGGAATACTCACATTTGTGGCTTGTACCATTTGCATCCAGTAAGAATAGAACTTTCAAGATGTACAATTTAACTCTGAAGTCTCTATAATTATGTTTAACCCAAACAAATCTGACTGTTTCCATCTGACCCAAGTTTATTTTTGAAAGTAATGAAGGGTTACTTGTTGCATACTGTTAGCTCTCCATTTCCATCAGTTTTTAAGTTATTCCTTGTAAAACAACATCAGAGACAACAAACACTGCACTGGAAAAGTGAAGGACGATCACTTACAATTCTCACAGAGATGCAACACAGCATCCCACACTGTATACAGTCCAACCTTGTTCATCAAATTCTCTGAACATCTTGCTTTCATTTTGGAACCACTTTTGCTTTGCTTCTTTTATCGTTATTTCCAATGTAGATTGTAATGTTCGATTGATAACCCGGAAATTATCTTTATTGTTCTTCTGCGAGTCACTTCCTTTTATCTTTCCTTAAATATACTTTCTATTCTCATTCCTTTGCTTGCACATTTTGAAACTAATGCATATATATTATGATAATTTATATCTCCAAATACTTTATGCTTTGATATTAACCTGCTATTTCCACTCCTAGACACTGCATTTTAAGGTCCTTTCAAATATACCCTTAAATATTCCACTTTTTGGTTGCCGTTCCCCCTATTCTTGGGCGCTTCTTGCCCATTTTAGATCGAATCTGAAGCCCTTCCTCTTTTAACATGCCTGCAGTCACCTACCCTCTCTCCACGGCTCCGCACGAAGCTCCGCCACTATTAAGCGCTCTGAAACACCACCTGGCGTGGAGGATGCTATATAAGAGCAAGTTGCTGTTGTAAGCGCTCCAAGTTGCTATCCCATGTGAAGAGCACTATATGAATGCAAGTTGTTGTTTCATTCTAATTTATTCCACTATTTTAAATATCAAAGTTTTAAAAATGTCGAGTAAAGACATTGAACAAACTATCTTTCACATCCTTTTTGCTGCAATGTATTGAAGGTAAAACCCACTTGCAAATGAGAAGAGTATGGAAGGAAAGCTCCTGGTCAGAGAAAGCGTTCCCAACAGCTGCTAAGGTCAAATCCATGGATGCTCTGGTTACAAGTATGTTTAACTGCACCCTTTTATTATTGTGGTTTAGAAATCAGACCAATCTGCATCCAACACACATCGTTAGAATGAGCGTCCCCTCAAAGAGACTTAGTCTTAGGTGAAATATTTTTGTGCAACTACCGCTGAAATTCCAATGGCACTAGATTACAACATAAAGATACTTCCAGTGTGAAACTAAAGCAGGAAAGCCGGATGAAGTATGACACGAAGATAGAAAGCCTGATCAGCAACAACCTTCTTATGGCTGCGTAAATGATGTAAATCTCATTAGCATAAGTGGAATAAAAATACACCGTCGAGTAGATATCTAAAATAAACAAGAATATACATTGCAGTACCAAACATTGAATACTGCTGAGGTGCATGTTAAGTGCACATTGTTAAATAAATACTTTACTAAGATGGTGAAGAAATTGAGTATTTCTTTCCTTCGATTTTTTTCAGGCAAATCTAAGTTTAGATCTTTTTTTTACTATTCAAAATGATTATTCTAAAATGACTCATGAAGCTCATGGCCTCTAACATACTTAAGGAAGCATGCAATTCCCTCTACATTTATGCATTATATATGGTGCATATCACACATGGTGACTGACCTATGCCATTGAAGTCATTGATTTATTCTTCCCTCTTGCATTTTGGAATTCGACCTTCCCACCTGGTAATTGCTAAGAAAAAAGGTTCTTCGATGCTAATTGTACATACCTTGTATTTTCTCTGGACTGGCTGAAAATACCAATTCAATCTTCCCATAGTCAGGAAATCGGTCATCTGCCAAGCACAGTGTAAAATTAAATGCTTATTGAAGAAATGGAAATTTTCTGTCTAAATCCATATCATCATTTAAATTGGAGTTTGGGAAATATTAAAGGAAAACAATAGCTGAACAACATTGTTCAAATTTAAGTTCATACAATTCTCAGCCCTTACTCCCAGTTCATGATGTCTCTGAACTGCAGTCTGCAATATAGTGTTGAATAAATAAATAAAATAAATAATAGTATTTGCATTAGGTACAGCACCTTTCATATCAGGAGAGTGTCTCAAAGGGCTTCACAGGATTTACTGTAAAGTGTACAGACTATTTATTTTGTAGGCGAACTAGTACAATCATTTTTTTTGATAAAACACTCATCTACAAATACATAGTTCATCTACAAATACACTTTACAGTAATGACTGTGAAGCACTTTTTGAGGCTTTTGATGTGATAAGGAGCTATACAAATTGCAAGGATTATTAATATAGTTGTATCTTTTTGATTTTTTTTGAGGGTAGAACAAAGTGATTCAAGTGAGAAATTAACCTTCCTCAATGTGAAGTTATGTTGTTGTGGGATACAAATACATTACGTCAATGATCTGAAGACTACTATTTTTCCTAATGGTTAGCAATGTTGCAACATTCTCCCTCCAAGTCCTTGTTGTGCAACTATAATGGAAATTGTGGCTTGTTTCCATGTCCTACCACATTTTGTAATCATTTGGTGCCAACGCAGTGTGGCACAATGCCATCAGTCCACCAAACAATGTTCTCTACCCATTCATGCATGAGAAGTAAACATTCTCATGTACTTGTTTCAGAATGGAAGCAGAAAGTAATTCAGATTAGTGAGTGCAAAGATAAACTAATTCCGCAACAGAGCAAAACCATTCGATTTACTGGCTGTTATTGAATTTAGTTAAAATCAACAAAAGCTTAAGAGGATCAACCAACCTACCTTTGTTGGCATTGTCGAGGTCTTCCTTCCCAAAAACAAATCCAAACCCCTGAATCGCACCTGTGTGAAACTGAAGCCGGAATATAACATCCCGTGTGGCTGAGCGGTACTTCTTGTGGTAGCACTTGACCTGGAACCAATGAATTTCTTCATGTTTAACATGCAATATCAACGTCAATAATTATTATTACAAAACTAAAATGTATGTACCCCTATCTCTCCCCACAGTTTTCTTGATTGCTTCATTATATCACCCAAATGATTTTGCATGTTATGACTCAATAAATAAAAAGCTTTTGCACTTCCCCCCCCCACCAAGGAAAGGCAGGGTGTGAGATTCTCTCCCATTGTGCATGCGGTTGCTTTGACTGGTACGGATGATCATATTAGGTTATTCTGAGCACTCTGAGACGCTAACCTGCGTGGAGGGTGCTATATAAGTGCAATTTGTTGTTGTTGTTAAATTCTAAAGAAAGATGTAATCTAGCTCCAGAAAATGACAATAATTGACACAACTGCCACAGAGAATACTGTACCATAAAGCTGCTCACTTACATTTACTTCTTCGGAATGGGCATCTTAAAAGTTACATGAATAAATCACATGATCCATCAATCCCTCGGCAGATCTGGTTTCTTAATTAAATGATACCTCTTCGTGCCAATTTACAGATAAAGCCTATTCCGTCTTGGTTTGTAACTTTATAGCATAGGGAGCAAGGCATGTGTTTATAAGTATTAATTGTTGCCAGGGCAGGCAACAACATGTACAATAATGATCTTAAATTCATTAAATGATGATCAGATTGGCTCTGTTGGTAACATTCTTGCCTTTGAATAAGAAGGTTGCGGGTTCAAGCTCTACAATAGGACTTAGAATTTATATTATCTGAACTAGCACTCCAATTCAGTGCTAAGGGTGTGCTGCATTGATAGATGTGTCATCCTTCAGATGAGACATTAAACCGAGGCCCCATTCAGTATGTGTCCTCTATGGCTCACATTTCTTCATGGTCTAGTGCACCTCAGCATTCTGACATGACAAAAGTTATGATTGTTTCATAATAATAACAATAATAAATATTTTGTATAGCCTTATATTTGGTATAGTACCTTTCATGTCAATAGGATATCTCAAAGCACTTCACAGAATATACAGAAAATACGCAGAATGTTAAGTGTATGTTGTAAGGTGGGTGAACCAGCTGGTAATTTGTGCACAGCAATGTCTCACAAACAGCCATGGAGTGAATGACCAATTTTATTTGGGGGATTATTAGCCAGGGCACTGTGAGAATTTTATTTATAAATCTTGCGGCTTGCTTCCAAAGTTCCGACCATACGTGTTCATTAAAGATGCCAGAAAAATGTGCAGCTTTTCATTTCTGGTGTTAAATGTTTAGGATTCTTATCACAACCAGACATAGGAGTAAACACGAGTAAACTAGTGGTGCAAACGAAGCAGACCAGTGCCCACCTCTTACAACACTTACATTGCAATGTCGCACAGACAACCACTAATTGAATGTTCTATTTTGGAAACAGACCTCTCATTTTGTCCCAGAAGGTTGGAGAAAAACTACAATGCGGTTTCAACATTTCTTTGTGGCAAAGAAAAACATACATGTTGAACTATGTGGAGAATGTGAACCGGTGACTAAAGGGACAGGCCACCATTTATTCTGTGTCAATGCAGACTTTGTTTATGCCAGGATTTAGATATGGTTAAGGTGCGATCATTGCGTGTGAACAACTGGGTGTGTTTGTGTTTGGCGTGTGTGTGTACACGCAAGACTACAACAGATGCAAAATACACGGTCACTACATTTTACAGTAAATCATGTGAAGTGCTTTGGGGCACCCTCCTCACTTGATAATTTGCTGTATCAAATGCAAAGAATTCAATTTAATTTTTTTTAACTAGTGAGGCTATGTAAAGCAGATGGGAGTAGAGACTGGGATGGAAACACTGAACCCCATTCCTCTCTCCCACCCATTCCCCACCCAACCCCCACTTCCCCACCCACCCCCACACGTTGAATTTGAAGATATCGTCTCATGCTTCACAGCCACCAGATGCCCTCCGGTATCATTCCAAGTCTTCCTGTGAAAGTTTAGGCAGTGTAGAATTTTGAAACTTTCTTATTATGTTATTATGTAGATGGGTGGAAATCCAAATTAAAACTGGAATGAACACTTTCCAAAATTCTGCAGGACCTAAAATTGTAGGGCTTAAGACTTAAGTCTTAAGACCATGAGACACTTTAGGTTTCAGTATTCTTTTTAAAGCTCAGATTTTAACTTTTGTATTCAATGTTTATTAATTCACATTTAAATTAGCCACGTTGTCTCACAAAAATGTCCAAGTTGTAACTGCATTATAAGAAATTTCCGTGTGTAGGTGGGATCCATGGAATTCTCAGTTTGGTTTGGATACTCTTAAGCATGGAGATGGGTTTCCGCACATATTAGACACTTGGCTTACCGNAAAAAAGCACAGCACAGTGCAAAAATCTTATTCAGCAGTGAATCGTTGCTGAATCATTAAGGTTTGCCACAAGGTACATACCGGATGTAGACGAATATTGTGACATTGCAGTGAAGTTCAGAATGATCTCATGTGTTATTCATAGACAGACAGCAAATTGCCCTTTGTAGCCTAACCTCAAATCAGCACTTAGCGAAATTCCAACAATAAACTGACAGCTACAAGTTGCTGCTTAAATAAGGAATTCACCAGTGTGAATTGTTGTTTTCCATTCAATTAAAATGTTAACCCTAAAAATACAGCTAATATTGTCGCAAATTAATCATCCCAAGGCTACGTTCCCTACTGGGTTTTAATGAAGAATAACCATCACTCACATTAAACATACTTAAGTTGCTTTTGAATACGTTTTTAAATCCCTTCAAGCAAATTACATGCAGCAGTGACAAGCCATGTCAGAGATACTACAATATTCTTAGGATTACTGAGACCGAAATCAAAACAGGAATCATACTTAAGTAGGGCTGTCCGTTTTTCTGAACGAGTCTGATGTGATGCTGTGATTGACTGTCAATAGCCTAGAGACACCCAACATCCCTTTCTAGCCTTCTGAGGCTGGGCTAATAAGATTTTTAGCAGCATCCATTCTAACCTCTGTTCTGTGACTTTGCAGAGATTTACCTGTTATACTATTCGATACTTACAGTCTAGGCATTTCTGGTCACATCTTTAGTGTTTTAACTTCAATGTAACTATAATGTGCTGGAAAACGAGGCCCATGTTGTATTGATATGAAAATACATCAATAGCAGCTGAGGATGTTTATGGAATATAGCCCAACATCACTGAGGTTCAGATCAAGTGTCATCATAAAACTTGGGTGGAGTCACATGGTTCAGCTCCATGAGCCATGCACTGGTCACTGCCTGTTCAGTCACCAGCAACAGAAGAGCACAATGGAATAAAGCACAACTGTGCTGTCACCTGAACCTCTTGATGTGTTATTTCACATGTAACAACGGGGTATTTTTCAGCAGATAACTGGGGAATGGGGCACTCTGGTGGTGCAGTGGACAGAGCTGCAGTTTACGGACCAGGATCAAAACTTGTTCTGATTTTGCTGGTCTCAGGCAGTGTTGAATGGGAAGCTAAATTGGCCCTGGCTTTCTCAGTCAGGGGAGGGAAAACAAGACAGGATTTCTGCTCCTCGATCCTCTTCAAGACATAAGAATTTTCTAGGCAAAACAAGACCAAGGTCCATCTGGTTCACCTTCTACCATCCTGGCAGTCGCTTGACATGTCGTGTCCCAAACTATATACTGTATCCCAAGATATTATTTTCTAGCAGAAATCTATCTAATTTGTTCGTGAAACAAACAACATTTTGTGCTTCCACTGTCTCCCTAGGGAGCCTGTTCTATAAGTTTACTACTCGCTCACTGAAGTAATATTTCCGTAGATTTGTTCTGAAGTTACCCCCCTTCAATCATAGGCCATGTCCTCTGGTTCTACTGTTCAGTACGCAACAAAACAGCTTATAATGGTCTACATTACCTATTCCCTTCAGAATCTTAAAGATTTAACCTTCTCTTCTCCAGGGTGAACATGTCCAGTTTATTTAATGGCTCCTCGTAATCCTGTCCCACTATTGGTTGTGCATGTGTGTGACACTCAGGTGGGGGAGAGAACACACTGCCAAGGCTCACCATGACCAATGGCCACTTATAATAATAATCCTTGCATTTGATATAGCATTTTTTCACGTCTTCTCGATGTCTCAAAGCACTTCACAGAATAGACTGTAAAGTGAATTGACCGTATATTTGTAGGCGAAATGCGGCAGCCAATTGCGCACAGCAGTGTCCCCCAAACAGTCGCGGATTGAAAACGACCAATTTATTATTGTTTTGATTTTGGAGCGATTATTATTAGGGGTGTGGAGTAAGGAAACTTGCCCAAGGTTTCGCCCTCTGCCTGGAATTGAACTCAGGTCTCTCACTTGCAAGGTGAGTGCTCTAAACACTGAGCTACAGGACTCCACTTGTGTGAGTGTTAGAGGGCAATCAGGCCCAGTGAGAGGAGGCCAGACAAGGAGCAAACACGGATTCGCTAATGGAGNAAAAAAATAATTTATATACAAAAGGTGTAGACCAGAGTGGGTATGAAATATGGTCTGAGGATCGATCACTACGGTTCTCAAAACATGCAACAACTTGCATTCTGTTAGGCTTTCAAAGCACGACCAATCTATCACAGGCACAAAGTGAGGGCAGACCGGTTCATTCCTAACAAGATGGGGCCACTTCCAGACAATGCAGCACTCCCCCAGTGCTGCATGGATTGTTAGCAGAGGGTGGGTGCAAATACTTCCTTCAATAAACTTTAGTAGAAATTTATTCTAGAAATCTACATATGCAGGCAAGTATAGCTTCCAGAACTCTACTGAAAAAATGGTGCACTCACACAAAAATATCACAAGAAAAAGTCAGCACAAAAAAGTGCTAATTCTTGTTTTGTTGACTAAAGAGCCAGAAGTACAGCTGGATTACAAATTAAAAAGCACAATCAAAATTTTATTAAGAGATAGATGTTGGGTATTACTGATCCCCATTAAAGTGCACAAAATAATAATAAAATGGAAACTCTAGCTAAGTATCATTTAGGGTTGATATTAGGATGGGAGACAATGGGATTGAAAAAGCGCTCAAACAGTAAAATTGCCTCTCTCAGGAAAAAATGTTTCAGGCCATTAAGAAGTCTCTTACAGGAACTCCAGGTATCACATGCCGACTCGAGAAACTCAGCTCAAGGGCAATCTGAACCCCATGGCAATGCTCTGGCTACAACAACTTGTCAACTTGCTTTGTTGTGTAACATAAACATTACAGAACTATCCTCGGGGCAGTAAAATCATGTTAAGAAGCAGAGCACAGTTAATCATAGCATTTGATTTGCTACAGTGCCCTTCGAGACGTCTCAAAGCACTTCACAGAATATATTGTAAAGGGTAGTGACTATATATTTTGTGGGCTAAATGCGGCAGCCAATTTGTGACACAGCAGTGTCCCACAAATGCTCGTGTATTGAGTCACCTTTTTTTTTAAGGAATTATTACCGCTGATCGACTAACAACCGAGTTCCTACTTTACTGCTAAGCAAACAAGAAGCATGTGGAGTAAGTTAAATTTAGAATAAAAAACTGAATGTTGTACAAGTCGAAGGGGCAGTGATTCAAGCCCTCAGTCTGGCCCCGCAAAAAAATTAATCATTGCAATTGCATACCTTTGGGGAAACTGAAAATGGACAGAAAAAATGCTTCCTCACAGGGAAGTGTTTCATCAAGTAAAAGCATCATCATCTTCAATGACTACCTAGGGAGCAGCTTGTCAGGTAGTCAGTGAGAGGACAAAACTCACAAATAAAAGTGGAAGAAAGTAAAGGGGAGAAATATACAATGTTTCTCCTTCTCCCCTCCAAAAACAAGAGCAAAGTGGGAGGAAATATAATAATTCCAAATGATTGAAAATAACAAAGTCACTTCTTTTGAAGATCGTGTGCGCTTGTTTTGAAAATTGCACCAATATGAAACCAGGGAATGTTATTCTCAAAATACAGGAAGATTGTGCTGTTAATGTTTGGCTCTACTTTGTTGACACTATTGTTGGCTCAGACTTCAAACTCACCATGATATCCCCCTTCAGCAGCTGGGCTGGCTCTATTGAAATGCATATCCTGCTCTGATTCTCTGGACCAACATTACTGTAAAACAAAAATGCAAAATATTGCTTTTATAATGGGACAGTTACTAAAGACCTCCTGCTGTTCTCAGAGCAGAACAAGGCTTGGTTTTAACTTAATCACTTGTCACTCTAGGTGCCAAAAAAAGACTAAAAGTGCTAAAGCAGGAAAGCTACCAGGGGATGAAACAAGACTTACTAGATTCCTGAAGTGTAGACTGGCTGCATTGCCTGGTAGATTTTTAAAAATGGGCGGCAAACTGTAAATAAAATGAAAAAAAATTAAACATTGCAATTACTGCATTTCAAGTATCATGGTTCCTGCGTTCATGTCAAATGTTAAAGGCAGCTATGTTCATCAAAACAATAACTTTTTTTAAAAAAGAATACTACGTACACAATACATAATATAACACTACAAAATAGTCACTTGAGAAGACTTTTTTGTAATCCAAAAAGTAGCAGTGAACCATGCAGTTTACTCCTAGGCTCAGACCTAAGCTGAGTAAGTGCTATCAATGACAAGCTATGTGGTTTTAGATTCCAGTAGTACCCAAACACACAACACAAACCTTGGCTCTTGCCAACCTGTGCCTAATATTCAGAATTAATCCAGCAGGATGTGTTCCCCTGGGGAGAGTGTGTGTATTCGAGTCCAGGCACAAGGAAATGTTCATGTGTAGCTGGCAAGACATATCTGGAAATCTCAGTCTGGTTTGGATACTGTTAAGCATGCTGATGGATTTCTGCATGTGTCAGACACCCAGCTGACCAAATGTAAGCACAATAAAAGGGATTACCCACACTTCCTTCTAAAGTATGTACATTGCTTCACAACTGTTACATATCAGTTTCCTATTTTTTTCAATCTGTTCCGAAGCTTTACCTCCTCCGGTGTCAAAGTTAGGAATGCCATGCAGGATAACGAAGTGCAGAAACAGTGGCGTGGTGTTCATCTTTACTGTGCCCGACAGCAGTCCATTTAAGAAATGAACATACCTGCAAGCAACAGAATAATGAAAGTTTATGCTTACGGGTTCCATTTTACCTTTTTAATCTCTTTCATTTCCCATCCCACACTCAAAAAAAAGGTATTCAGTGGAGCAACCAAGGTACTCTGCAATTTGTTTTTAACAAACAGTTATTTTGATGGCAATGTCTCTGTGTTCTTAAAGCAGACATTATCTGAGTTCTTCTCTCAACCCTCCGAGATGTTACACTGCGATGTTAAGGACACTATATAAATGCAAGTAATTGTTGTTTACAAAAGTCGAAAATTAAAGGGAATTTATACTGATATATCCTGACTAAGACAAAGTAATTTTTCAACTTAAACTGCTCATTCACCTCATTGCAATTTTGTAATTGCCGCTGCTACACTTGACTCTAATTACCCGTAAAGAACTTTTTGACATGAGGTAACATTGTATTTTATTTCTTTACTGTTGTATTTCTGCACTAAAATGAAAAACAAAACAAAGTGACCCTTTCTGATTGCTTCCAGTGCTGGGAATTAAGAATTATTCTGTAAATTTCAAATGTTTAGCTTCAAATGTTTGCCACTCAAAATGTGTTTATTTTTTGAGGAGAGGCTCTTGGCAAGTTGTCATCTAGCATTTGGCAGGTTTGATGCCAGATCCTGCTGTACTCCTTCACAGGGAAAGCATAGTATAGATCAGAATTGAAATGACAATGTGAAGTGAATCACGCTGGAATCCTGGCCACCAAAACCATCCTGACTAAGTAGCACATTGCCTCACACGTCTGCATTCTATACTATTGATCCATCCAAAAACTTAGAAAGAACATTTTTAACATTATTAAAGAGCCAGTCATGAAACTAACCCTCTCCCCCTCCTCAGCCAATGTAATGAGGAGAGGGAAATATAAATCAAGCTATCCACCACTGACCCTACCCTGCATGAGGGGTGCTATACACATGCAAGTTGTTGTTGTTGAATTAGAAGCAGTCACTCTGCTTTCAGTGGTAAAAACTGGGTATCAAGAAGCAGCCCCAAACTCCATTCAAGGGGACATTGTTAGGATTACAAAAAGACACCATGTATTCATAGCATCTCAAGTGGGACAAGGTATAGAATTACATGGAATGTTATAGGATGGAAACAAGCTATTTGGTTTAACTGCACCATGCTGGTGTTTATACTCCACATGAGCCTCACCCCTCCTTAGTTACAAAGAGTTAATGTTGGTGCATGTCTGAAAACCATTTGATATTCTCTGAGTAGAGGTGTTCTTCTTTACCATTGGAGGTTAACTAAACCAGTGTTTGAAGGAATCATGTGGCAGACTCCCAAAGCACATTAATGCCTCAAAGCTTTGATATTCTCAGAATGGAAACTAATGCCACACTTTAGAAATCGCCTTCAGAACATAAAGCAACCCTTTAAGGATGCCAAAGACTAAATAAATCAGCCATAAGATTGCACAGTTTCAATACTGTTCCCAGAACATCGTGAATTCCCAAAAGCTCTTCAGTGCTTTGTGCTGCAATTCTATTTAACGTCACGGATTGAGAGGATAAAACAAAAGCTTTTTGATACCAACTAACATTGAGTGTACAGCAGTAGCTATAACATTTCTATTGCTCCTGAGAACTTAGGGAATTTCCATTGCTTTGAGAAATCAGGGTGCGTTTTATCTTAATTTTGGAAGAAAGATTAAAAAAGCAACAGTTCTCAATTTGCTGAAGACAGAAGTAGGTGCCATAAAATCCAAATTACGATTATGTTTTTCACTCTTATAGTTCCTTATTTTCTAAGATCCCATTAGAACACTGCCCTGAACAAGCTGGCTTGTTACAAATTGGATGATCCAATCTAAGGTCAGTCTCCCTTTGTTTGTGCTTTGAGACCTTTCTCTCTTCACCCAAATACAAGACCATTGTCAAATTTAGATAAACATCTGGTCTTTGACAATTTTCTAAGTAGGTTACTATAAAGGATATTTTATTTATAACGTTTTGGATTATCTCTATGTGGAGTATAATACAAATTAAACAAATCCGAAAAATGATCAACGTTCTTGATTTATGTTCATACATAAATGGCAGCACAAGCTATAAAGAGTCAGATCTCTCTGTGAGTGATAGCACAATACTAAGACTCTCTGATGCTCTGCCAATGCAGCTATCCTTTGAAGTGTTCCTTCAATATAGCCTCAACGTTTCATTTACTGGTTAGTTAGTAAAAGTAAACCATGAAGTCTCATTAACAGGGCAATACCATTTTCTTAGCACCAAAGCTAAATAGTTACACTGGCATCACACATAGAGTGCTCTGGGGAAATTCTTAAGAGCATCATTGAAGCACAGCCAACAGAATGCTATGCTGCTTTACTTCAAAATATACCGTGTTACTTCAAAATACCTGCAATTTTGTGAATAGATTCCAACCAGCTATTGCACGCTTAGATTGATACCGGCAACACAATTTAGCATAAATTAAAGTTGACTGCATTGCCTCCTTTATTCACAAACTTGCATTTTCATAGTGTTTTATCGCATTGATGTGCTGTAAAGAGTTTTCAGAAATATAGTGAAACCCCGTTATTATGTGCTTCATCATATGTGGGTTTGTTTACACCACAATTGGGCTGTGGACTTAACTTAACAAAGAACCTTAAAGACAGCCGGCTCACTTCTCGACCACAACCAGTTTTCTGCAAACCAAAAAATGTCTGACCTGAATCATCAGGTCACCGCCAATAGCATTTCCTGTGCATTGATCTGGATATCAGACATTTTCAGTGGGTAAAAAGTTAGTTGGCATTTTGGAGCAAAATAGCTTTCTGTGCATGTCCAGTGAATGCAAAAGTCCTGACCAGCGATTGTTATTTTGTGAAGTGCAAATACGGTGTTATTATGGTAGGATCCACTGGAATTACTATCAAGCATTCTGTTCTTGTCAAATGTGGCTGCAATTTTCACAATATACCACATAAAAAGTTAATAACCAATTTTATCTGGTGGATTGTTGGCCAGGACACCAGGAGAAACCTCCTTCTCTTTTTGGATAGTACCATGTGATCCTTAATGTTCAATGAATAGTCAGACAGGACCTTAGCTTCATGTCTCTGTTCAGCAGGCTCTGGCCTGCTCCATGTCTCCGCCCAACCCGCCCTATGATCAGTGGCTGGGCTTTCAGCCTCTTTGTCCCCACACTCTAGAACTTCATCCCGCAGTCCCTTCGCCTCGCTTCCTCCCTTGCCTCCTTCAAGGCTGGTTTCAAGACCCTTCTCTTCGATCGTGCCTTCAGTTGCCCTCCCACCTCTCTGCTTTCCCTCACCCCTACCCCACCACTCCCCCATGCTCAGGTCCTGAGCTCTGACTGTCCAGCGCCTTGGGACATCCTCCTGACCTGAAAGGCGCTCTATAAATGTAATTTTGTTGTTGCTGTTGTTGTTGTGTCTCATCTGGAGAATAGTATCTCTGACATTCTGAAGAGACTCCCCCAGTGCTGCATGGATTGTTAGCAGAGGGTGGATGCAAATACTTCCTTCAATAAAATTTAGTAGAAATTTATTCTAGAAATCTACATATGCAGGCAAAGTATTGCTACATCACAGGAAGATTGGAAGTGCAGTTCATATACCAAGCTATTTAAAAATATAAATAAAAAAGGTATTTCATGGTATAAAACAACAACTCAATACCACAAGTTAAACTTAAAACGACAATTTGCATTTATATAACACCCTTCACATGGGTTAATGTCTTGGAGCAAAAAACGAGGATCAAATGATCCTGTGGGATGTAGTATTTTTCCAATGATTGAACCTGATGTTATGTAACACATTCTTGACTAACCCAGTTGATTAGGATTTATTTGGGTGGGACGACTTGATGGATCAACTTCAAGTAAGATTGGCTTAAATTACTGATTTGAACAAAATATAAAGATCCAAAAGCAGCAGCCCCAGGCTTCTACCCTGGTTTACATTTCACTTGAAGAATGACCTCACTGCACTGATATTTTGCAGGTCATTGACATAGGCAAAATATATACCATGGCACGTCACTTCTTCTAGTTCACTTTACACAAAATGAGCAAAACATTTTATTTTAGAAAAATTCTATTTGACTTTAGTGACAACCACTATAGACCTTAGGGAACCTTTCACAGTGCTCGTGAGGTCATCTGCCCTGCATCTAACCTCTGTACATGTGAACGGCTGTTATCTTGAAAGCCTACTTAGCAGGGATTGAGGAACTCCTGGGGTGGTTTCCTGAACAGAACTTGCTGGAGCAGGAGGTCATGCTGCGCGGGCACTATTTTAATTTCACAAACTCTCAAAATGAGGACCAAAACTAAGTAGCGCACTGTTCCTAAAAATGGATCTCAGACGCTTTATGGGATTAAAAACCGATAGTTAATGTCTCTAAAAGTCATGCACACTCACGACATAAAGTTAGTTAATATTTTGTTTCCTTTTACAACTGAGCTGTGAAACTGAAATTTCATCCTAACTGCTCAAACCTCTGCTACAGTCTGTTCAACTCTGGGCCAAGATGGCTCATTATTTTAGGAATCTTTGAAAATGGCAACCGAGTGGATATTAGGTATCAGGAAGGAGGGTAGAGAAGAGGGGATCCCCCGTCAGGGTGGGGGAAGAGGGGGGCCACGCAGGGGAGAAAGTGGGTGGAAAGAGGCGGAGGAATTTACTTTCATTTAAAACACTAAAAAATAAGTGAATTCATGAAATCAAACTCTTCCCATATATTTAACAGTACAGGAGACTAAGACTCATTGGAGGAAATCAGACAAACTGATTTACCGCTTCTGTGATGGCTGCATTAGAGCAGATACTTTATCATCGTAGAACTTTTTCATTGCAAACCTGTCGAGAGCTTGATCAGCACTGTGAAGCGTAAACAAAAGGAATTAATTCAGTAGGTGATAAGTCAAGACAAAACAAATGTTTAAGCAACAAAAATAAACCAAAACTCAGACAAACTTCAATTGTTCAGCTGTTAATTTTATCATCAATTCACGTATCAATATTAACTCCATTAAACTTTTGTTAAATATATATTAAAGAAAACATAATCAAATAGAATTAATTTATTGGGCATCTGATCTCAGTCTGAGATATCGGATTTTGACCCTGCTTTGAATTCAATACATTTATAGGTAATGTTTAAGCAGGGGGGTGGGAAGAAACATGATGTGATATGGAGGGAGAATGGGTGGGGGGTTTCGGGGGATAGGGTCATGCAGAAAACAAAATAAGCTTCACTCATGTGGAGTCTAAAAAACAGCATGGACTGGTTGGGCCAATTGTTTGTGTGCTGTACATTCTTTGTAAATCTTTGTAAGTAAGACATTAACATCCCAAGTTTGGGGATGAAGTATTTCTCTGTTGCACGTGTTGCATACAGCAAATGTATTGATCTGGGTTCAGTTCAGTATGTTTTGCAAATTTGTCCCCTTCAAAATAACCCCACAGCAAGTTTAAGTAACTCACTGAAAATTGTAAAACGAAATTTATAAATGATGCTGGACACACACAGAATTTTTCGTTAGCTGATGATACCGGGACATTAAAACTGACTGCAGTGGCCCTGGATTAGACCATCAGTCTGGGTTCCTCTCTCAGTTCCTATTCAAATACTGTTACGGGAAGTGGACATGTGTTGATGTCAAGTGAGGACTGTGTCCTTTCCTCCTTCCCCCTCGCCCTCTACCCTGAACATAGCTGAACAGCATTCTCTGTCCAGACTTGCACAAAAATAATGATGACTTTGGCAAGGTACCATAGGCCATGCAACCAAACCCCAGAAGTAAACGAGTCTAAACATTTTGAGCGTTCTGGGAGGGAAGGTGCAAGAAAAAAAGTCTTTTTTCTGATTTAAAATAATCAGATTTAAAAGAAATTTTGAAGTTATTGGTGATTAATAATAAATCAGTGAGTCGTAAAAGTCACATAAAAAGTGGTATTGAAACCTGACGTTTGAGACCCAAGACAGAAAATTTGACAACATGAAACACAACAGCTTCAGCTCTGAGCTTTGCAATTACCTTGCTGATATATTGGTGAAGTGCATGTAGGATGAAATCACCACTCCTACTCTCCCCTTGCCTCCCTAAGAGAAAAAAAAGAGAATTCAAATAAAACAGAGCTTCTGATCACTGGACTGAAAGAATAGTTGTAATGCTATAAAAGTTGTAAATAATGGCTGGTCCATCCTTTTCCACACTGATATTTACAAGGTTAAAAGAAATCTTTAAAATGGTCAGCCTTAAAGGCCTTTCATGCCTCTGGGAACGTAGTTTCATTGTGAGCATAAAACTTATTTTGCATCTAATGTCATATGAATTCCTTTTTATTATAAAGCAGGATCGATGACAAAGGTAGAAATAGACTGGTTATTTTGTAGCAGCTGTTAAGTGAACAACTGGTTTCCCAGGAATATTATTTCACTTATTCTCAGAGGTGTTCCCTAAACAAAGTCCAATGATGTGAATAAAAGAATCTTTTGCTGCACAATTTCTTGTTGCAAGTTCAATGAAACAGGAGATGTTTCCACTGTACAGCTGGCTTCACATCGTTGCACATTATATGTAGTGTGTACTTGGAACCCCACAAAGTGAGTTGATACTGTTTCTTCAGAAAAGACAAGCATGCTTATGCAATTAGGAATGGGATTGGGGGATAGATAGCAAATTTTATAGTGCCTTACCACCTTGAAACGCTTCACAAGTAATTCCTGTCACAAGTAATAACTGCTTTAATGGGCAAATAAAGCACCCACTTTCACCAGCAAGGTCCCATGAAAAGCCAATTGAATGATCAATTTATCCAGAGCATTATTAATGAGTACACTTTTTAAAAAAACATTTGCTTCTCTTTTTGTATAGCATCTTGGGTATCAACCTGAAGAGGCAGATAGGAACTCAGTTTAACATCCGATCCAAAAGGTGACATTTCTAACTGTGCTGTGCTCTCCCAGTATTGCAGTGGTTTGTCAGCCAAGACTATGATCTCATGTATTTCAATTGAGAGCACTCCCAACTGAGCAGGCTGACACGTAGATCAATCTGCCAAAAGTGATGAACCGAAGGGCCGGCCTGTGAATGAACAGGAATAATTAGGGCTGATGACTTGTTTGAGGGTGTCACGCATGGAGCCATCACCTAGTTTATACTGATAAGATTTGCAAACTTATTAATTGGGCCCAGTCTTAAATAGAGAGCTATGATGAGACTGGACAGATGACAAAAAAAATTACATTAAAATGGGCATTACATTTAGCCAAATTTGTAAATGAATAACCTGATCACCTGGATACCTGAATAAACTGGAACCTTATCACATCGAGACTTATTGAAATTTTAAGTGTGTGGCGACCATTCTTTTGGAAGAAATATCGCACGTAATCTGTACCGTCAATATCCAATAAAGATAAAGAAATACATGGGGGTAGCGGAAGAGTTACCAGGCTTATTTCATTCCAAGTATAATTCTTCACTGTAAAATCTTGATCCAAGCACACAGAGTTCTGAATACAGTATTTCATGAGATTAAATGCTGAGCACAAAACACGCTGCCAATGTATACCAGTGACATGTGAAAACGTAAACTGTTAAGTTATGGTGTTAAGTTACAGCAACAACAACAAACTTACATTTGTATAGTGCCTTTCACGTCAGGAGGACATCCCAAGATCTGGACAGTCAGTGTTTCGGACCCGAGCTGGGGGTTGGGATTGAGGATGGTGGAGGGCAGGGGGGAGAAGCAGGGAGATTGAAAGCATGGTTGAAGGGGAGTTTCTTGAGATGGGTCTTCAAGGAGACAAGGGAATGGGCAAGGCAGAGGGCCTGCAGGATGGAGTTTCAGAGGGTGGGGGCAGAGTGGCAGAAGGCCCATGGGGTGGGCAAGGTGCGGGACGAGAAGCAGGCCGGAGCCCGCTGAGCAGAGGGAACGGGCAGGTTGGTAGGGGGGTAGGAGGTCGCAGAGATAGAGGGGAGCAAGGCCATGGAGGGTTTTGAAGGTGAGGACCAGGATCTTGAACTGTATCCTCTGTGTGTGGGAAATCAGTAGTGTCGGGCGAGGATGGGGGTGATAGGAGTCTGGTGCGGGAGAGGACATATGCTGCAGAGTTCTGGATGATTTGCAGCCTATGGAGGGAAGAGTTGGGGAAACCAACAAGCCAAGGAGTTTGCATGGTCAAGCCTCAATGTTACGAATGGGTGTATGAGGGTTTTGGCGGCCTGAGTTGTGAGACAGTGGAGGAGACGGGCGATGTTGCGGAGATTGGGGAAGGCAGAGCAGATCATGGCATGGTTGTTGGGCAGGAAGGATAATTGAGAGTCAATTAAGATGCCAAGGTTCCGGACTGGCTTAGCAATGTGGAGTGTGCAACCATGGATGGTGATGCTGTCAACGCCTGAGGTGAGGAGACGCTGACGGGAGCCAATCAGGAGAGTCTCGGTCTTGTTGACGTTCAACTGAAGAAAGTTAGCTCTCATCCAGGACTTGATGTCTCACAAGACATTCTGTCAGTACAGCAGTGGTCCTAGAGTCGAGGGTGGAGGCAGATAGGTAGAGTTGGGTGTCATCCACGTACATGTGGAAGTTGACCCCATGTCTGTGGATGATGTCACCAATAGGAAACATATAGTTATTGAAGAGGAGAGGACCAAGGACAGAGCCCTGAGGAACGCCACATGAGACGGTGTGGGGGCTAGAAGAGAAGCTGTCTGTGGCGACAAAGTGGAGACGGTGGGAGAGGTAGCATTCGAACCAGGCAAGGGCAGGTCCGCGAAGATTGAGCTGAGAGGAGAGGCAGTGTAGGAGGATAGAGTGGTCGACGGTATCTAAAGCAGCAGAGAGGTCAAGGAGGACAAAGAAGCAGAGGGAGCCCTGGTCGCAGATGGACAAAATGTCATTTGTCACTTTGACCAGAATTGTTTCTGTGCTGTGGGTGGAACGGAAACCTGATTGGAGGGGTTCATGAAGGGAATGTCAGGACAGAAAGGAGCGAAGCTAGGAAGCAACGACTCATTCCAGGACCTGGGAGAGGAAAGAGAGGTTGGAGATGCGGCAGTAGATTGAGAGCAGGAATGGATCCAGGGAGAATTTTTTAAGGATTGGAATGATGACGGCTGTTTTTAAAGTGGTGGCAACAGTACCAGTGGACAGGGAGAAGTTTATTCTATGAGTAGAGGGGCAAGGAGGTGGAACTGGGAGGTAAGGAGATGGGTAGGGATGGGGTCGAGGGAGCAAGTGGTCGGTTTTATGAGGGTTATAGTGGTGGTGAGAGAGGAATGGGAAACAGGTGTGGAGGGAGAGATTGGCTGGGGGCGGGGTTTTCAGGGGAAGATGGAGAAGGGGTAGTAGGCGGAAGAGCAGAGGCAGCTGAGCGGATCCCCTAGACTTTGGATTTGAGAAAATCCAACAAGTTAAACTGTTAAGTTTAGGTGTGTCGGCCTAGCACAGTGGTAGCACTCTTGCCTCCAAGTCAGAATGTTGTGGGTTCAAATCTCATGTCAGGACTTGGAATCACATAGCCTAAGACCGGGTAGTCCAACAGGCATCACTGCCTGCAGCAGCAGGAGCTGGCAGTTGGTTGCTAAGGACACGGATGGTAAGAGACGCTCTTGCCATCCTGACAGACTGCAGTAAAGGCTCTGTGAGCTGTGTCCTCCCAACCTCCGGCTCCTTACGCTGCCCTGGGAGGACATTCAACAGGGAGAGAGGGAGCGGGTTGCAATGTTGGAAATGATCTCGGGCCGGATGCAGTCTGCAGGCGGCCAGCTGCCCCACGCTGTGCTGCTGCAAATCTATAAGGGCCATGATTTGTAAGTGGGTAGGCTAATGCACTATGTCCACCCAACAACATCCACCTGGAGCATGGTGAACAATTCTGGGCATCGTATTACATTAGGGATATCCTGACACTGCAGAGAGTACCACAAAGGGAATGAAATGGACAGCTGGGCTCATGGAGCATAATACAATACAAAATTATATTTAAATTACGCTTTTCACATCAGGAGGATGTCTCAAAGCACTCGCACACTACTGGCTGCACAACTGAGCTGGGGGTGGGAGCTAAGGAGGGTGGGGAGGGGAAAGATGACCAAAAGCGCGGTCAAAGAAGTACATCTTGAAACGGACCTTCAATGAGGTGAGGGAGACAAGTGGGGAGGACTCCTGGATGGAGTTCCAGAGAGCAGGAGGCAGAATGGCTGAAATAGACATTTCCAATCCTGTGAATTCCTACATTGCCACTCATTTGTGGTCTGAATCTGAATCCCAGCTAATATTTGATTGCGAGCTAATTGTTATCAATATATCTGACTGAGCCAGAGGTAGAAGGCGGGCAGGACCAGGCTGAATTGGGGGCTAACTTGCCATGAAGGTTTTTTTTGAAGTTTCTATATAAATTTGGACTATCCCACATCCTACATTGTAAAGGCTCTCTTTTTATTTATTTCCCATTTCTAGAAATTCTGGTTTAACCGCGGCACTTTATTTTAATTTTGAGAAATTAGTCATGCCTTTTATTAAGATTGAAATGCTTCCCAAATTCATTTTGTGGTTTCCCTGGGCTGAAACACGAGCAGTTCAAGCGCACAACGTTTGAAAACTAATTGTGAAGGAGGGAGAACAAGAGAAAGAAAGCTCCTAGTCCAGATTAATTTCTGTAATATTAAAACTAAAAATATTGCAGGCATCAAATTTGTGGTCAAGAAAAGGCAAGTATAGACAATTTGGTTTCTACCAGGTGTGACATATTACAAACAGGGATATGTGGGAATGTATGGCAAACTGCCAATGGCGTTCCAGTTGAATAGATTTATACTATACATGTTCTCTTGTAAAAGTTAATTATAGCAATAATGATTACAATACGACAGTCTGACATTCCAAGATAGCCTGATCTATCAGTACAATATTTGTTCCTTGCATGCACAATCAATAAACGGTTTTGCATTCAATGTGCCTTGATTATTTGATAGCAATGTCAGAATCACATTTAATTTGCCCGTTAGTGATTGCGCCACTCAGTTTGATTTCCGTCCAAACATTAGGCACTGCAATTCAAAAAGATCACTGAAAGGCTCTGCATCCAAAATACCATGACTGCAGTACATGTGCAGAGGTTGAATAGGTGAATTAAAAACACCATTTTCCTCCGCGTAAAAATTGACAGACAATTAAACCCCATATCCCTGCTCTGATCTACTCAGCTTTTCCCCATCTCTAAAACATTGCCTGTCTCCACCACAAGCTCTTCCCTCAGGCTGCCGAGATCCTCATACACTCACTTATCACGTCTTTATAGTCTTGGCGAGTGAATGATGGCATCTGAATGACAACCGCACCAATGCGGCACTCCTCCAACACTGTACTAGTGTCAGCCTAGATTGAGTTCAACTATTCTCTTGTTTGGCCATGCAAACCATCTCATTAGGGTTTGGGCTCCCCAGGACCTTCAGTGCTAAACAGCTTCTTTAGCCTATCCTTGAAATTGAGTCCCTTCATGCCATAGCACATCCCTATCTCTCTGATCCTCTCATACTCCAAACTGCTCACCCTCTCCACTTACCTAACTAAAGCTTACCTCATGTTATAGTATGTGACGGGCGCTATGTTAATGCAAATAGTTGCAGTTGTTGCTGTTGAGTCGCTGTCAGTGAATCACGTTACAAATTTTTAATCCCTCCATCAAATAGGCAAAGGAATGACTCTCCCAAAATGCTGGAAAAACATTCTTTTTTGAATTAAATGTTTAAATTGAGACAGTGAACATTTCAACCAGCTCTGCTGATCACTAACAATTTAGGCACAGCAGTGCTACAAAAATGTGGGTGTCAGTATCCTAGTTGAGCTCAACTGCAGGGGATAATTACAGGTCATTAAATCATGCTTTTTCATAAGAATTTGACAAGAAGACAGTTTTAACAGGAAACAGGAAAGACCTCTGGTATCAGTGCTCCACCATCACAGAGACTTGAAGCTTGATTTGACTTAAGGATAACATGGAGAGAGATGTGGGGCGGTGGGGGAGAGAATGCTGTGGTAGAATGGACATACCAGCTCTGCAAGCAACTAAGGGCATAAGGAACATTTTCCCCAAGAAAGTGAATGGCAGGGAGGAAAGAAAAAAATAACTGAAGGAACAGTGTGTGGCTATGGTGTTTAACAGTGAGGATAGGGAAGAATCATATCGCTTCTCATAGGGTTATTCCGAGAAAAGTTTACACATTTCATTATCGACGGAAATATAAGACCGAGACATTTGTTGTGCCCTTGGTTCTGCCCTTGCACAGTGTTTCCCCCTTTCTGACAATGGGCATGTCCCGAACAATGTCAACGAAAACTGGTGTGTCAAAAATAGTGACCACTGCTACTAAACAAACAGACACAAGAGGTAGAATTTAAGATAAAACATCCTTTGTGTGAATATAGTGAAGCTCACAAATAAGAGCATCTTGACCTTTATTTGATGGGTCGTTTTACCCGACTTAGAAAGCTTTTAATTCCCATTGTTGTGGACAAACAAAACACTCTGCCAAATGTTCAGAGCCATATACTGTGACCACATCAGTGCACTTACATTATGCTCTGCAGCTGCGCTATCAAGCTCTTGAGGGATAAGTACAATATAATAAAATGCATAATAAAAGATTTTTATCTAGTTAATAAATAATATCCATTTTATAATGAGCCAACATTCTTTGCAAAGTTTTGTGGCAGACATACAGGTTCTCAAAATGCATTGTGTGTAAAGGAGCACCAGTTACGTTGCTCTGGTGGTAAATAAAAGTTGCCAAACGGACTTCCACGCAATCCAGTAGCGCAGGGCTTTCAACATTTGGCAGAGGAGTTTTTTCTTCATTAACAATGATTATTACTATTTACTTGCCAAGTTACAATTTTGTAACACAAGTCTTTTTGGGGGCCAGGTGAAAATGCAGTATGCGATGTAATGGTTAGCACCTCACTGAAAATTGTGAAATAGTATTTAGTTCCCTACTGGCTTGAATGTGAAGCATTTCCCCTTGCCCCCCTCCCTCCCCCCACCCCCAAACCCCCAACTTCAGCAACAAGGTTAGATGTGAAGTGGGCCGGTGGCTTTGACCACCTTCACTGTTACTACAATCAGAAAATGTACTCGAGTACGAGATTTGAGTGACTCTTGTTTGGGATATCAGGTTAATTATCACATCACACACTTCCTCTGTGTTTAAAATCGTATCACTGAATTTACAGCTGAGCTTAGCACCTCAACTGTTCTCCTCCTCCATCCCCACCCTGACCCGCTGTGTACAAATAAACAAAATCACATTTGCATACACGTTAGGAGGACGTCCCAAGGCACTGGACAATTAGTGTTTCAGACCCGAGCTGGGAGTCGGAATCAGGGAGGGTGCAAGGCAGGGGGGGAAGGAAGGTGACCGAAGGCACAGTCAAAGAGGAGGGTCTTCAGATGGGTCTTGAAGGAGGCAATGGAGGAGGCGAAGTGGAGGGATTGCGGGATGGAGTTTCAGAGGGTGGGTGCAGATGGCTGAAGGCCCGCCCACCAATGCTTGAGCGGGCGAGGCAGGGGACGTGAAACAGGCTGGAGTCCACTGAGCGGAGGGAGTGGGCAGATTGGTAGGGGCTTAGGAGGTCACAAAGATAGGGAGAAGCAAGGTCATGGAGGGCTTTGAAAGTGAGCACCAGGATCTTGAACTGCGTGATGGGAAGCCAGTGAAGTCGGGCGAGGGAGCCCTGATCACAGATGTTTAGATAGTCATTGGTGACTTTGACCGGGGCTGTTTCCGTGCTGTGGGCAGCATGGAAACCCGATAGGAGGGTTCCAAAGAGGGAATGGCGGAAGAGGAAAGAACGAAGCAGGGACGTGACGACTTGTTCCAGGGTCTTGGAAAAGAATCGGAGGTTGGAGATGGGGTAATAGCTGGAGAGTAGGGATGGGTCCAGGGAAGGTTTTTTGAGGATGGGGTGATGACAGTTGTTTTTAGGGTAGAAGTGATGACTGATGACCCACGTAAATACTGTGGTATATCCAATATGTTGGCAGGAGAATTGAATTAATCATTCTGCTGTATAATCATCACAAAGGGAATAGGGAGGTAGAGGGATAAAAAAAATGTGTGTTATGTGGGGTCTGCACTGAGAATAGTGTCAAAATCATCTTGAGGTGAGGATGTCCTTTATATGGTTGCCTAATGATCCTTACTCGGTACTGGTTAGAAGCTCGTCCTGTGGTGTGTGTGTGTGTATGTCTATGTGGAGTATGTCGACGATGACGAATTTCTACCCCGTACACTAAAATACTTTATTCTGACAAGTACTACTAAACCAGCAGGAATTTTTACCATTCCTGCAGTCAGCCACCCCCCATGCACAACTGATGATTTAGAGACTTTAAAAACAATTCGTATTTCCCCAGCACCACATGTTGGAAAAAATCTGCATTCTGAAAGGCTTGAAGGTCATTCTGACAGAGTCACAAATACTGATTCCTGCGGGTAACCAGATACATCGCCTAGCAGCCCATGGGAACGCCACTCCAATACCATCTCTCCCTGTGGTGTGTCAGAGCAGAGTTCTTACGGATCAATATGACCCCTTCCAATTACCTGCAGAAGCCAGTTTTATCACTGTGTTGTTACTTGCAATTTAGGTAGCATGCGGCACATTCTCTGACCTGTTTTGTTAAGAGACAATGGCAATTTACATCTTATCAACTAATTGTTTTTTTATATATAAAAAGAGGACAGCATAACGCACTTACTCTGCAATGTATGACCACCACATGCAGTGGGTCATTGTTCAACCATGTCTCCATTGACTTGCATATGGTACACATCTTATCCAGAGGTGGTGCGTGAAGGTCTGGCCAACCCACATCCATCACCTGAAACAAAAGGCACAACTTAGGTTTTGCAGGGACTACAATAGACTTTTGAGGCAGTGCCACTACACTCACTGTGCATCAGGCATGAGAAGTACAGCTCCTATCTAAAGCTCATAATCAGATTACAAACATAAATTAAATAAAAATTCAAATCTATCCAGCAAATAAAATGTTGAGAAATGCCATTCAAAGAAATGCTGCCAATATTGCAAATATTCATGTAACCTTGGAGCATGTCCCATTATATTGACATAGCATTTAAACAGTCCTTATCAGCCAGAATCCTCTATGATTTGTTGGCCAGTCTAATAAAGAATGCTATTACCAGACTGTACTTGATTGCAAATTCTGTAGATTTACAAGAAGTGCTTTGTTAAAGTTTCACAAATAAATCACAAAGTAAATGCCCATTTCTCTTTCTCTTAACCATTTCACAGCTAGAAGCTTCTATTATTCTTGCCATTTTCAATAGGAGCTCACAGCTGTTTTGGCCCAATTTGAGCAGGAAGGGGTTATTTGACTCACAGTCCCACTTGTGGGGGAGGTTAAGTGACTGCTTTCCTCTACAATTGGAAAAGAATGGCTATGAATTCCCAACGAGAGTAATTGAAATTCCAAAAACATATGGTTTTAACCAACTAGCTGATCAGCCATCTACAACTATGGAAATCTCTGAAATTCTTAGCAGTTAAAATGTGAAAAAAAAGTAGTTGAATAATGAGACTAGCTAAATTTGGGGAAAAGGTTAAGGAAGTTGGGCTTGTTCTCTTTGAAAACGAAACTTTGCAGTAACCTTATATAAGATTTCTAAATTATAAAAGCTGATCTGAACAAATTGGTCACACCGATGCTGGGCTCAAAAAAAGGATAAAATCATTGAAAAAACAGGAAATTAGGAGTAAATAGGGAATGAAGAGAGAAGCATTTACACAAATAGCAATAGACATATGGAATAAGTTATCAGCAACACCACTGATGTTAATGGCATAGTTGGATTCAAGAGAGATCCAGATACAGTGCATCTCTGGAGAGTAAAAGAGGTAATAGCAGGATGTGGCAAAAAGGTGAGATTGAGATCAATCAAAAAGAGTTTGGCTTTTTCCGTTTCGAAAGTTCCCATGACTATTTGATATGTTTCTTTTCTGTGAGATGTCATTATTTATATTTGCTCCACGATGGGCCAGCCAACACTTGAACAAATGAAACACTCTGAGTTCAACCCTCCCTGTCTACAGCAGGTCTGCAGTCAAGAGTTGGTCCTGTGCAATACTCCCTACCTGGTGACCTGAATTGGGAACTCTCAACTGCAGAGAGGGCCAGAGCTCAACAGCTTAAATGTTGGAGTGTTGGGATCGCGGAACCGGTTCAAGGGGAAAGTCGACTGACACCCGCAGCCTAACCTGAGCTCCTGCGGCCAATTCTTGGTAAATGCTGTAAACATGCCACCACAAAAGGAGTTGTTATTATGTGAGAGAGTGACTTAATCAAAAACAGTGAGGGCAAAAGTCATAGACAGTTAACTGTGATCTATGGTATTGGCAGCACACAAGTTGGATGCATTCTCAAAAGGTAGGCTGAATACATGACAGCCTTTGAAGAAAATCAACAGCCTGATGGAAAATGTGCGTGTTTATACTCTCAGTATGAGGACATTGATAAACTGACATGGGAGTGGTTCCAGCGAGCCCCTGGTCTCAACATGCTTGTGTCTGGCCGGCCCTAAGATACAGGAGAAAGCACTCAGCTTTGCAGTTTCACTTGGCCAGACTGGCTTCAAGGCATCAAATGACTGGCATGGCTGTTTCAAGTCAAGACACAACATTGGGTCTAGAATCGTGTCTGGTGAAAAGCGTGATGTTGAGTCTGCTGTTGTTGACAACTGGAAGGAGAAACTGACCTAGATTACAGCTGGCTACGCACCCAAGGGCATCTTTAACATGGATGAATCTGGTTGTTTTCAGGGTTCTCCCTGACAGGAGACTTTCAGTTTGTGGTGATGGTTGCACTAATAGGAAAAAATCCAAACACCACATCACCATGTCTTTGACAGTCAACATGGAAGGAAGGTTTTGAATGCACAACAGTTGTGATAGGGAAGGCTGCCAAGGTCCATGCCTTTACAAATTTGAACATCAAGATTCCGCTTCCCGTCAAATGGTACAGCAACAAAGCGGCATGGATGATCAATGCCATTTTTACAGAGTGGCTTCAGGCCTTCAATAGAAAGATGTGGGCAGAGTGCAGTCATGTGCTGCTGCTTCTGGACAGTGCCCCAGCTCACCCTCACAGCATTTCTACTCTAACCAATGTCAAGTTAGTGATTTCCCAGCTAACACCACATCCATTCCACCACCAGGGCATCATCAAGAACGTCAAGATGCACTACAGGAGGAGTCTTCTACACATGGTTCCTGGAAGCTGGCCAAAGGTGTGCAGGCTTCACAAGTCGCCAAATCCATCAATGTTCTTCATGCAGTCACCTGGATTCATTCATCAGTCAACATGGTGTATAGATCAACAGTGCAGAAGTGTTTTGCCAAAGCAGGCTTTAGTATGGATGAGCCTATATAGGAGGATCCCAATGGTGATGTGCCACTTGCCCAGTAGTTGTCTCAGGCCAGTCAGTGCCTGTCACTGGATACCCCTATCCTCACTGCTGAGCAGCCATCAACAGTAATTTGCCCTCCACTAAGGATTTGAATGAGGGCTGGTGGAGGAGTTTATGCCAGGGACCAGGGACACTGAGGATCAGGACCCACAGGAGAAGGAACAGGAAGAGCAAACTACAACATCAAACAGGATGCATGGGCAGCTAAATTGCCCATGGCCATCCCAGGGTTATGAAGGGGCAAGAACCGCCATGGTTCCTGCTCTCTATCCCTCTACAACACCCTCAACTTGGTTGTTCATGGGTCACAGCCAGGGGAGGAGTGGGAAATTCTGCTCTGATGCCCTCTGCAGCTGAGTGGCCTACTGACACTCATTACCAAGGCTCACACAAGATCAATGGCTATTTGGGCGAGTTGACAACAACAACTTACATTTATATCATGCCATTCATGTCAGGACGATGTCTCAAGGTGCTGGACAGTTAAGGGTTTGCACCCAAGCTGGGAGTTGGATTCAAGAGGAGTGGGAGCCAACAAGAGCAACCAGCCCTCATGGAACTGCAACCAGAGTGGCATATGCCAATGGGGGGAAAATTGGAAAGAAATTGGAACATCCTAAATGTTTTAAATATAAAAAACACAGAAAAAGGCACATCAGTCAGAGTTAGGACATCAATCAGTGTGTTAATTAGCAAATGGGGTCCAGGAGTAGTCAGTCAAATAACATATCAAGCTTGAAATGAGAATGTTGGCACCTTGAAAGATAAGAGATACTGGAGTCACTTTTAACAGAAATAACTGTGTACCTTGGCGTTCAGCTTGGCAAGATCATACCGGCGTTCAGAAAGATTGAACACCTGTAGAAAACAAAAGACATCAATAAACCAACCGCAGTGACAATCTTTTACCAATTTGTTTTGATATTGTTGATATTTTGACATAGCAGTTCAAAAAAGCTTTGAAGCATGCGGTAATCTCATAGAAAACTCATAATTGCCAAATTCTCATGCACCCTCCTCAGACAAAAAAAACATTGCCCAAACTGTTAATAAATGTAACATTCCTCACACTACTTCTCACAAGCTCTGTGGAGCTGCAATTGGATTTAGTATGCTTCACTTTTTTGGTGACAGCCTGGCTCAATTGGTAGTAATCTCACATAGGTCAGAAGTTGGTTGATTTAAGCTCCGCAGGGGGACTTTGAACTCACGTTCGAGTTTGACATTCCAATATAGTGCTGTGGATGCGTTTCATTGTCTGAGATGCCGTCTTTCGAATTAGACGTTTTTTAAAGGCTGAGATTTAAAACCTAGGATCCTTGTAAGTACGATGTAAAGGGCACTATATAAATGCAAGTTTGAGTGAGTTTGTGGGACATTGCTGTGTGCAAATTGGATCCCATGTTCGCCCACAAAATAAACGGTCAATCCACTTTACAGTATATCCTGTGAAGCACTTTGAGATAACACACTATATCAAGCAAGGATTATTATTATTATTATTATTATCATAAGCAGTGTCTAATGCCAGCTCATGTTTTTTTGAAATCCAGCTTGAAGATCAAATCTCTCGACTGGCAGTTAACGGAATCACAGGTTTTACACTCAAGAACAAAAGCACAGGCTTGCTAGCCAGCAGGCCAAAGTCATTAGCCACAACTGAACATGTAACCCAGCTTCACAGACGGAGATTGGTGTCGGGGAAATCATTCTCAGACACATCTGCCGCATTCAGTCAATTTGGAAAAAAATGTCTACATTTCATGTTTTTTAAAAATCTCACTTGGTAAGATTTCATACCCAAGAGAAAAAACGGCTGGAGTCTTAATTCACATTGCTTCCAGTTTCCTGATCCTGACCAGTGAACAGCACACTGGAATCGGACAGACTATTATTCATGTCCAAAAACTTTCATAACTCACAACTGTAAAATTCCTCACATATGTACTCCGGCACAGGACAGCAAAGAAAATGGAGCATAATATCAAAAGCAGGAGAATATGATTTGACAGTGGGCGAATAGAGTAAGGTTATGTTTCCAACCAGCTGCTTTCATTTAGAAAGTTCCGTGCCCCATGACTGAGTGAGGCTCCAGTTATAGAGCAAATACGCTGCACATGGATTGTTTGTGCAGGACACAAGGCACACCGCATCAAGCAGAAGGTTTGCTATTTTTACAGTATAAAAGAAAAACACAGATTAGTGCTTTGGTGATTCTGATGTAACAGTCAGATTCCAATAAAGTGGAAGTACGACTCCCCACTGTAACAGAGGGGACTTTCCTCCTCCTCAAAGACAGTGGATAAAATACGCTCCACTGCAATACCATAGAGGTGATTCAAGAATATTGAAAATACACTCAAACTATTATAGGAAACAATAATAAATCAAGAAAGTTAAGCATTCTGAAAGGTTAGCCGGACTTTTAAACTGTGGCCCCCATAACTAGGCTTGCGAAACTGTTTTCACACAGAGTTGTTCAGATGTGGAATGTCACATGTGGAGGCAGTGTCCATTGTAAGTACCAAGGGGAAGTGTACGCACAAGGAAGTTGAAGGGGTATGGAGATAGGGCACAATGGTAGGAATGATTTGACAACTCGCTCTGAGAGCTAGTGCAGAATTAATGGGCTAAATGGCCTACTGCTGTGCTGTAAATTTCTATGATTCTAATTACTCAAGTCTGGAAATAAAATGTATGTATAATGTATCCTGTTTTTGTTCAGAACTCTGTTTACTGTATTATTTCATGCTATTTAGAGGCCACTCCATCTTGAGCTGGCTTGTCTTGGCCTCCAAGCACTTGCAAACACTGCCCCTGCCTCTGAGTTTAATGATAATAATCTTTGCATTTGATGTAGCATTGAGCACATTGAAAAGAAAAGGTTCAAAGTGCTTCACAGGATGTTCACTGTGAAGTGTAGTGACTGTGTATTTGTATAAGCAAATATACCAAGCTTTAGATTGAGATCGAGGTTCAGATAAAGAAGGTGTTCAACCCATTCGATTAAATCTTTCCGGATTACCGATCCTATCTTCTTCCCACCATAGCTTGTTAATTCAATAAATCAAAAGATCTCTGCAATTGTTGGATGTGTAACCATACCCCAAGTGGCAGCGTAACCGCCCAACAATGTACAATCAGCAGTAAGTATAAATCAAGGAATGTTGCAATCGAGTGATCCATAAAATTCAGTACTAAAATAAAACCACTCACTCTCTTCTGGCACAGTTCTCATCTCACACCACATGCCTCTGCATGTGGTTGAGAAAGAAACTTCCAATTGTTCCAATGTGGGAAACTAACTCTATTTAAAAGTTAGTTTCCCACAAGAAAGAAACACAAACCAAATTAAGACATTTTTCTTTCAGCTTCCACCCCACCAGCTTGGTTGGCCAGCCAGGAACACTTTAATAAGTCCTCTCGACGTGAAAGGCACTATATAACATTTACAAATAATTTTTAATGCATACAGCTATTTTAATGTCCTCGTTGCCTAACAATGATGTTATATCCTGGATCAGATATTCAATCCCAGTGTACAATGTTGAACAAATAGCAACAGATTTACCTTATACCAAGTTCACATGAAAAACAAAGTAGATGAACAGAATTAAATTGAGCCTATCTCAATTTGAACATCTAAATTGTTTTTGTTTAAGTAGTGAGTGATGACATCGGGAAAACCAGCAAGGATTAAAGAATTCATGGACACAAAGGAACTGAGTACTCAACCGGCAGGGACAACCGAGATAGAGATTCAACACAGACACGCACTCAGATGCAGCATAAACAGACACACCACAGACAGAAAGGCAGGCAGACAGACACTCCACAGACAGACAAGCAACAACAACAACACAAATTACATTTGTATAACGTGTTTGACATCAAGAGGACATCCAGCGCATTCAAACAGAACATATACAATACACAGAGCAGAATATGGGCCATTTGTAACCTTATGTTTACAGCCATCAAATACACAACAGCAACGACTTGCTTATTTAAAGTAATTAGTGATATTAACTAATTTTCGTTACAACGTTATAGAATTAGAAAATTCTCCAAATCAGGGATCCTAGCTGAAACAGAAAGACAATAATGGCAAATCTCATCTTGCCTATTATTAGATAGTCCTTGATGTGACAGCGAGATTTAATCTGAGAAAGTACAGATGTTTCAAGATTTAATATGAGCAAGTTCTGAATGTTTCTCAGAATCATGCCATTCAATGACATTGGGAGTAAATTTAGAACAATAATGTGTGGAAGCCATCAGTGAAATGTTTTGTCAAACAAAAACTTTACTGAAATAATCTTACATTTCTGATCCTGCGTTCACTGTGCTTTTCTTAAGTATTTTGGGACATTTGCTTTGAGAAATGGTGTTACAGGATAACAAAGCAAGTCATTGCTGTTGTGCATTTAATGGTTGAAAACATAAGATTACAAATGACCCATCGCTGATTTCAATGTATGAGTTGTCTCCTTCACTTTATTGGCACAATTTTTTTCAACAAACATAAATCTACCTACATTGGTGTAAAACTTCCCAGAAACTGCCAGCTCTTTTTAACAGAAAACAAAATACAAACCAGCCGGAAATATAAGCTTTCTGCTCCTTCCAGCATGAAAATTGATACCTTCAACACATTCTGAACACTGCTGAGAATGCTTTAACAGAGGACAAGCACTGAGAGGCACTTTAAACTAATGTCGACATGTACCTCCCAAACCTCTGCCTGAAAACTGCCTGTGGCGATGCTTTTTACGCCACCTATGAGTTCTCAGTGTATTCGTAATGAGACCTGTAATCTGAACTGGAGAACTCACCACAAACTGTAAAACTAATTACAATGTTAACGCTTACCATGACATGCACAGACAGAGTGACGTCTTAATATCTCTTACCAAATAGTTATCTCCATGTTTGGATTTAAGCATCCGTGTTACATCTTGTAGATTGTGGAGATAGGTTTCTTCTGAACATGCAGCAGGGAAAGACACTGCAATAATGCGTTCCGTAATGTAAGTAAGATCGAGCTCGTAACCCTCCTCCATAATCTGACCCGATTCCACACTCCTGTAAACAAAACGATAAATATAATTTTTTTATGTAAATCACATTGGTTCATCACAATTCAACAATATCTCCTTAGTTTTGCTAACTTTCTCTCCTCCTGAAGGCATTTGACCCTATACTGAGGTATGGCTTCACAGACAACAGGCATCCCTGTCAAGTGTCTGTCTCGTGTACCTCTCTCAAGTCTCCATTATTCACGTGTAATTCTGGACGGCGATGCAACGATAGCAGCCTCTTTTACCCCAGAATGTATCACAGCCAAGCCAAATCCTGTCCTCTTTCAATATCCAGACGTGGACACCTTCCACCAGCGGTCTTTGGATAGTGATTAGGATCAGAAACTAAGGATGATTCTATGATTCTATGACTCTTCCCCCCACCCGTCACCACCACCGAGCCCAGGGGCACTGCTGCCCTGTTTACTTCAGCGAATTCAGCATATTCTTGGATTTGAACCTGCAACCTTTTAGAGTAAGCGTCTTTTCTCATTGACCATCAAGGCAATTGTACAAAGATTTCTGGTGGCACTTCACGTACAAGAGACGGCCACAAGCCGCAAAGAACAAGACGTTGATAGCTTTCCATCTGTAGACAACCTAAACTTCTGGAGTCTCTACCTTAATTACGGAACTGCTGGCCATTTTCTGGTTGGGCTACCAGAGACAGTCTCATTGACGCAGGAGTTTTTACAAAAGTGTCATTGTCATAAGACTTACAATACAATGTACACTTATATACGAACCCTTCATGTCAGGTGGATGTGCTTGACAAAATGCTTGACAATTCTAACTGGGCACCAGAGCAGAGGGTGGGAACTGAGAGGGTGAAGAGGGAAAGATGACCGAAAGCTTGGTTAAAGAGGTACGTTTTGAGGCCTTCCTTAAAATAGGGAAGGAGCAAGTCGAATGGAGTTCCTGGGAATGGAGTTCTAGTGTGCGGGAACCTGACTGGAAACAGTGAAAATCTATCTGTCTTCCTTGCCAAACTCAATGTAACAAATAAGATAGTCATGGGAATACTATAGATTTCCCATGAACAATTGCACTCAGATTCCAGGCACATATTTATCCCTAAAGTGTTTGGCCATATCCCTGCTCTCCTCAACAAAATCACATCACCAGATGGGCACCAGCAGATTTTTTTTAGTTTTCCAGCAGATAAATAAGTTTTTTTAAAAATTGTTGATAGAAAATATAATGTCAAAATATCGCAAACCACTTAAAAGATCATTTCTGACAAGTGTCGTGACTGTGCACTTGTAGACAAATATGGCAGCCAATTTGCACACAACAAGATCCTGCAAACAGTCATGGAACGAATGACCAATTTATCCAGAGTTAATCACGTTTCCAGGAGAAATGTCCTTCTCTTTTCAAATAATGCAGTGGGAACTTCATTGAGCCAAGCTAACACTTCGGCAAAAAAACTACTTGAAAGTGATAAAAAATAATTTAATTTGTTACTCTGGAAATACACAACTTATGTATTCTTTCACCTTGTGCAATGGGTTTTCACAATAACGCTTGCTGTTATTTATCCTGTACCTAACAGCTAACTGACCAGCAGTTTCTGTTTATACTGTCACAGTCCAATAAGTACATGTAGTGTGAATGACAAATAGTAAACTGAAATTGGTGATTGAAAGGCATTGCTTTTTCGTTTCTATTGTTTGAGATAAAGAGAAAGGATGCAGAGCAATGTCATACTTGTATGATAAATTAAACCATAGTTTATATATTTAACCTTCAGTTTCCTAACAACAAAACAAAAACTGCTGCCAACAACCACTTTCCTTTACAAATAATTGGAACAGGTTCGTACAGCAAATGACTCCTTTCTAAAGAATATAATGCATCATTTTGATATGAATCATTATCATCAAATTGTAACTTAAGGTAATTAAAAATGCCTTGTTTACGGCACACGTTGAGTTTGACTAACCTAATTTGAATCTTGCACCTCACATAGGAATTTTAGTCGATATAAGAAGAATCTTTAATGCCCACCTGATCAGGTAGATGATTAACACCTCATCCAAAGCATATTGTTTCAGTCAATGTAACGCGCTCCCTGCACTACAGTGTCATTGAGCTACGTGGACTCCTGTAGCTCAGTGGTTAGAGCACTCGCCTCGCAAGCGAGAGACTTGGGTTCGATTCCCAGCAGGACAAAACCTTGGCCAAGTTTCCTTACTCCACACGCCTGATAATAATCCCTCAAGAAAAAAAAATAATAAATTGGTCACTTCAATCCATGACTGTTTGTGGGACACTGTTGTGCGCAATTGGCTGCCGCGTTTCACCCACAAATGTACATTCAATTACTTTACAGTATATTCTGTGAAGCGCTTTGTGACGTATAGAAGACGTGAAAAGCGCTATGTCAAATGCAAGGATTATTATTTTTATTATTGCAGTGTATACCATGAGCTATAGATGAGTGAGACTGCTGTATTACTAAACACCAATGCATAGTCTGTTGGTGATTTCTTTGGAATCCAATAATTTTCATCTCTTCTCATTCCTCACCTTGAGCAAAATTCTCTGAAAAGTTTAGGAAACAGGGTAACCTCAAACCTGTGATATTGCTGGTCTAAAAGAGACCATTAGGAGGTGTACAAGAGCTGCCCTGTGCCTCGCGGTTTCTGACTTCATTCTCTCTATGTTAAGAAGAAGTCTGAAGGCTGCACCAAATACCCCTCCAAACCAGGATTAAATAACATTGGCACAGTGTGTTCTTACACCAATATCGTGTTGGCACAGTACTTGTTAACACACTGCTGCAAACTGGTCCCTTTAAAAAGGACAAGTAGATGAAATTAAATGAAGTTATAATTCTGTAATTCCTTTAAAGATTCATTTCCCAGAATTTAAACAATAAGTATACATCGCACTGGTTTATAAATCATTTCATTCTATTGTTGTCATTCAATGTAAATTTCGGTAATGGCCCACTTGTATAACTTCTTCCCTCAGTCAAAGAGAGCAGAAAATTAATTGTCGGGATCAGTGTTGGCATCTCTCTTGTTTTCTCTCTCTCTTTCTGGATGTAGGAGTTGAAGGAATAATATCTATATTTTCTGTCAATACTAAATTGGCAAGTGTTGTTAACAGAGACGAAAGGTACACAAAACTAGAGACAGACATTGACAGCTTAGTGAAGTGGGCAGATTTCTGTAAAATGAACATAGAAAAGTGAAGGGGTACATTTTAGGACAAAGGAAACTGAAATATACAATACTTAAACTTCTTCCAGACCCCATACCAGGGTATGGAAAGATTTGTCAGGGACTTTGTTCAAGGAGAATTGATGGAGGCATTAGAGAGTTTGGGAAAAGAGTGGGGAATTGGGATTAAGAAGAACGGCATCTTGGAATACTGACAGGAAAATGAGCAGAATAGTTTGCTGCTGTGACGTACATTTCCATGGTTCTAAATTTTGCATGTCTAAGATATTGCTTTTACGTTAACCTGAGCCAATGAACACGTCATTTTCCAGATAAAGTTGATGGATTTGTTGTCAATATATGGATAGTTTGTTGCATAATGTGAAACCCAACAGCTTGCAAACTATTTCAGGCAATTCTAGTTAAGCAAACATCCTGATTTCTGCAACCCTTTATTTGCTGACCTTAAATTCATACTTAAAGACTGTACTTGTAGGAACCATCTGTCGCACTCTGTTAATTTTGTAATAGAAAAATTTCCAAACTGTTAATAATTTGCTACTTTAAACCTGCTTAAGACAGTAGAAAAAGAAAACAACAAGTGGTGCTCTACTAAGGTGATAATAAAAATAAAATAATCCTTACACTTGGTACAGCACCTAGAATATCGAGAACTTTTCAAAACACTTTACAAAGTGCTTTGTAAAGTGTAGTGATATATTTTATAGGCAAACATCGGCAGACAATTTGGCCACAGAAATGCCCCACAAACAGCCATAAAATGTGAATGACCAAATCTATCTGGTACATTTTTGGCCAGGACACCAAGAAAAACATCCTTCATTTTTTAAGGATCTTTAATGCCCACGTGAAGAGGTAGATGGGAACTCGATTGAACGTCATGAGATATTGTTAATTTGAGCTATAAACAAGGTGAAACACTTCATCTGACAATGCAAAGGATGCAAACAGAAAGTAACAAATATTCAATTTTTAGCAATTAATTGAGATATTAAATTAACACACTTACTATTCTACAGCTGAACATCCCAATACACGCAATACATCTCATCATAAAGCATCCTCAAAGCTTCACTGTTTATTGAACAGCAAAGATTTCCTTAAAAGATTCAAATTTATTCTGCAGAGGAGTGAGAAAGCTTGCGTTTTTATATCGAGTCCACAGCTGGCAAGTTGACTGCCGCGTGTGCCCATAAAATACACAAAGTCACACCATTTTAAGTTTATCCTGTGAAACACTTTGAGACATCTTGACGATGTGATAAGATGCTATATCAAATGCAAGGGTTATTATTATAAATTAATACAAAGCAAGTAAAATAGGTGCAGCATTCTCAAAAGTAATTGTTATTCATACAACTCCCTCTTTCTTCCTGGCCCGTGTCCAGGCCATCAAACCCCAAAATAAAGTTGGTTATTCACCTTCTGGCTATTTGTGGGACATTGTTGTGTATAAATAGGCTGCCACATTCACTTACAAATACACATTCTTACATACATAAAATCCCATGTAGCACTTTGAGACATTCTCCTGACTTAAAAGGCGCTATACCAAATGTAGATTATTATTATTACTGTTATAATTGTGTGCTCAATTGTGTGCTCACAGATGTTGAACAGAGAATGCAATAGGGCATGCAGTCAGTTACAACATTTTTGCTTTGGTGAAATATGTACACAATAACATGGTGCAGGTGGAGACAGCTGAACCAAGGACAGATTGCTTTATTGATTTAACTGTGCTGATAAATAAGACAACCCTGGTTCAACAATTGATAGTTAACGCTGTATCTGAATGCCTGAATGCTAAGAAGATGAGGCTGTCTGGTGGAGCCCTCATAGATTTATAAAATGCTTCATATGCTCTAATTTGGCTTGCCCAATCATACATTTTATAATGTCATAAAACATCTCAACAACAACTTGCATTTATATAGCGCTCCTCATACAAGATAAAATCTCAGAGAGCTTAACACCCAAATACCAACTCAACACAGCCCCAAATACAATACCAAATACTCTTCTTTGGGTTTGTTACAATTAGAAAGTATTCTTTTCAATACTTACTGAGATGATTTATTGTGAATGAGGGATGAACTTTTCAGAAACGTGTTCGAGACCTGCCATTATTAAAAGAAAGCATTATTTCAGTTGGCATCGAACCACAAATGGATGTATAATGGGGGTGAGGGTTCAACATATAATATTTGGAAACTGGATTGTGACTGCCCACTTGTGAATAACACATTGCATGATTTGCAAACCCCACACCAGGAAATCCGAAAACTAGCCAGTGAGAAAAATGCTGATTAAAAATGCCTTTCCTGGCTTGAGATTTGCCAATTTCACAATCCAACATTTGCAAACTACAAACAGTGGCTCAAATCTTGCTTGGATACTTTTGAGTATGAACCATTTACACCTATAGTGTCTGGATTTTCATTTTCTGGTTAAAACATTATGAGCTCTTGCATCTCCTTCACTTTGAAATGCGAAATGTGAATCTCCCTTGTCAAAGTATTGACCATGTAGACCTTGAAAGAACGATCTGCGTGAGCCATGAATACTGTGAATTCCAGGATACAAGTTCCATCTTTGCACAGGTTTTTATAGTCTGTGAGCCTATGCTGTGAATAATGCAGCTATTTTGAAGTGCAAAGGGGAAAGGATTCCCTTACACTTCATTCCCAATTTATAAATAATCAGCAGATAAAACAAAGTGATTCTTTACTTTTAAGTGTCAGTGTAAACACTAATCCCCAACTCAGAGAGATATAAAACATCCATTTCTTTCTTTACTTTACAGACAGAGTGTCCTCACTTATCTCTCCCTTATTATCTGCTCTATTCTCAGGCTGTACAAGAGCCCAGATAAAGAGCGAGTCAAAACCTGTGGACACAGAGGGCAGTGAAGGTGTGGAATGTTCTGTCCCAGAGGGCAGTGAAGGTGTGGAATGAATCTTCTGAATGTTCAGAAAGAAGCAGGAGGTGGAATCAATAGGAATGTTTAAACGAGAGATGGACAGATACTTATGTAGTAGAGGATTAAGGGGTATTGGGAATAAAAGATCTAGCAAGATTTAATAAACTAATGGAACAGGCTCGATGGACTGAATGGCTTCCACCTGTTTTTATTATGCTATGTTCCTAAGACTATCTAAAAGGACCCAATAAAAATAAATATATACAAAACACTCCAAATTTTAATTTCTTAAAACTCCTTAATTTTCAGCTGGCGACAGCAAAGAGGAAAGGATTTATGAAGCTTGTAATAATGTAGATTTCTGATTATTCTGTAACCCATAAGGCAGAAAATCCACCAAGGCTTATACCTATACCTATAGAAACATTTTCTATTAAACTTGAAGGTTTTGTAGCACTCTGGAAAATTCTTTCACCTACAAATGGAAATGTCCCTCTTTGAAATGGAATGCGCACTCTCTCCCCAGAGGGACACATCCTACTAACTTAATTCAGGAGAGTATTAGGTATAGGTTGGGAAGATCCAAGGCTTGGAGATCCCAGAGTGTGCATTGGGGTATTGCTGGTGTTTAACTGCTAACACCACTTAGCTTGCCATTAAAAGCACTGTCATACTCCTTAACCAGTGAGGACCAATTATAGCTTTGGTTTGCAGGATTAACAGGAGCCAAGTGGAAAGAATCCATGCCCACAGTCTGCCCTTCCAAGTCCTCCCGATGACCCAGGCTTGCTGGTCTGTCATCAGCGGTGCCCTGGAGTATTGTGGACCCAGAGCTTGAACCCACAATCTCCTGACATAAAGGCTGATATCAGGTTAAGAGTAGGTGTTATTCTAAGATCACATGTCTGATCAAAAAGCTTCTCAAAGTTTCATTTCACTTTCCGTCAACTACTCTACAAACACACAACTTATTTCAGCCACAAAAGCTTCTAGTTTGACAGTGGGTTCAGGTGTAACGTGGCATCAGTGAGTACAGCAGGTACACATTCCTTCACTTGTGTGACATGCATATGCCGGATATAATGACAGCACTGGTAAAAGTTTTTTCTGAAAAGAAAACAGAATGGTACGTTGTCAGAGACACGATCATCCTTTGCACTGCTTCTGGTAAAACATCTACTCCTAGTGTACACATGCAAGCACACAACACGTAACAAATACAGATTAATCAACTCTTTCTTCCACAAAAGGCAAACATCACTACTGAGCAGAAGCCTGAGTGAATGGTAGGGGGAGGGGGGCTTTGCAATATCAAAATATTGGACAAGTATTCATCTAATGGACTTGCATAACATTCACAACTTGTGCCCAGAAAGGAAACACAGAATACCATATTTTACTAGCTCCCCCCTCCCCCCTTTCTCTATTGTTTCAAAAAGGTACCAATTCAGATGTGGACCTGGAGATAGAGAAAACTGCCTGCCTGAGCTGAAGAGTCTTCTGCATCCACTGGCACATCTGTAGCACTTATGAGGCACATGGTGAAACCTAACATTCTCTCGTCAACCTCTAGAGTAAACGCAGATCCCTGGGTCAGAGCCAAAGCAGAACGAGCACTCCCTTATATCTCATTCTTTAACATCAATGGCTGTCGATGTGCACTGATCTGTAATGACTCCTCTTTATCTTGTGGCTTGTCTCTTTTGTAACCAGTCCTAAAATCCTGCACTTCAATGGTGGCCTTCACAATGTGCAATGAAGAATTAATTTAGCCCAGTAATTTACTGACTGTAGTCATCTACATTCCAACCAGTGAAATCTGAGTCACAGTAAAAAAAAGCTTGAACAAACTTAAAGGTCATGTTGGCAGGTATTAATTAGTAGAGTAAAAAAATCTGCCATGGGTTGAGTTGAAATTAACAGTTTAATCAAGAAGTCTAAAAACATTGCAGCTCGCTCTGCAAATCAGTATTCTGTTTTTCAAGTATACTGTTATATTTTTACTTTCAAAGAGCTGTTGATATGTTTACAAGGTATGGAACACTGAAACATTCAACGTTTCCCCAGATTGTGTCCACTTCAGACTTTGGTGGGGAGGCAATGCCAGCTAGTAAAACAGTAAGAGATTAAGTACACAGAATTCCGCATTAACTGCAAAGTGAAACACTGCCGTGATATTCAAAACAATTTTTTTTCTGTTAACAAGCACTCACATAAATTTCCACACCTGAAGTTTTACAGCAAGGATGTTTATTTTTGCAGTCTCTGTATTAAATAGACCCTTTGGCTCACTTTCATCATCACGCAGGGTCAAGTCAGACACAAATCACCTTTTGTCCGTTTCCTCTTCCAAATCCTCCTTCTGATTTTTTCATCCTCTGCTGGGACTAGGGATTCACAAGAGGCTGCGATTACATGGGCACCAGTCTGGTGCTGGGACTAAGTGGTTCTTATTTGTGTGCAATTATTATGGATAGTGGAGTGTGAGGTATGGACCAAGTTTGGTGCATTTTTTTGCTCTCTTGCTTGTGTGGTCACACATCCACCAATGCTTCAGTCCAAATCAAGTTGAACACTGCAGCCACTGTACTTCAGGACTACATCAAATGATAATAATAATCCTTGCATTTGGTATAGCGCCCTATCACGTCTTCAAGATGTCTCAAAGCGCTTCACAGAATATACTGTAAAGTGAATTGACTGTATATTTTGCAGATGAAATGAAGCAGCCAATTATACACAGCAGTGTCCCACAAACAGTCCAGGATTGAGTTACCAATTGTTCCTACTTGCTGCTAGGTTCCTACTTACTGCGAGGTAAACAGAGGCATATGGAGTAAGGAAACTTCCCCAAAGTTTCACCCTGCTGGGAATTGAATCCAGGTCTCTCGCTTGAGAGGCGAGTGCTTTAACCACTGAGCTCCAGGGCTCCACAATGATCCCAGAGATGATAGACCAGTGTCTGTCCTACAGTGCACCAAAGTTTCCCACACAGTACTATTTTAAGCAAAGGTACACATGTGCTCCAATCCACAAATGATGGAATTAAGGCTTTATCTGTCAGTTAGTTGAAAGGTCAATGGGGTTAAGCAGTGTCAATACATATCCTGTCCCTAGAGGGCATGCAAAACTTCCTTAATTTGGCATTAAACTGTCAAAGTGCTTGCACGTCCCACATCAGCAGGGTTAGCTGCATGGCAAGTTATCACACACTATTCTGGGAGAAGTGGGGGCTAAAGCAATTTAGATTGGAATACAAAAGAGTTTGCTCTATATCTAATTGACTGCTTGATCTCAATGGTGAGGGTGAAAGTTTCTCATCGTGCACACATTTACTAATATTTGGTGTGGGCTTATCATGTGAGTTCCCCATTATGAGGTGCCACTCTGAAGCTCAGTAAATTTATGGACAAGAGGATAAGAAACTTCCCTCTGAGCAAGGAGTTATACCTTGGGTGCAAAAAGGTTTCTATTTCCATGCAGCACTCTAGCCTTGCGAAGCTCAATATCTATATAAGCAAACAACATGTACTACAGAGTATTGCAGATTGTGTCACAACAAAAAATATATACAGTTGCAGAGGTTTGGCGATAAAGCATTGCAAACAAGTGAATAAAAGGATATTCGCTCACTTAACAAGTACAGATAATCTGCTCTAATTATCAATGAAAGGTGACTCAAGGTACGAGTCAATGCCTGTAACTACAGTCCTGCTCTGTGCACTGATTTTGTTTTGATCAGCCGAGTTTTTAATATATTCAGAAACCCAATGCCACGCTTAACAATATCCAAACTAGACAGAGTTCCACAACTGCATGGATATTTCCCCGTGTCTGGAATGGAGTGCACACATTTATCCCCGGAGGGACGCACCCCGTTTATCTAATCCCAGAAATTATTAGTTGCAGGTTTTCTTAGGAACCCCAGCATGTTCAGCATCTGTAGAGGAGCCACTTCCATTGTTACAGGGGAGAAACTGTTTTAACATGTGTAAATCTGGCACTCAAGTTGAAACATGAACTTTGATTAAATCCTGATTCAACAATAAAGTCAAACATTACCTACCGGACTGGTTACATGGCTTAAATTTGAATCCGAGTTGTCTGGCTGTAAAATAAAAGAAGAAACAAAATTGGCGTGGCAGATTAACATATTATAAAAAATTTTGCTTTGCCACGTATTTTACAAGGTCGAGCAACAAATTATTTCATACACTTGTACTCAATTGAAAAACATAAAGATCTCCAGAAAATTCAAGTAGCTACCATTTTATAGATGAGTGAAGTCTCACATGGGGCCCTGTTCAGTCATGTGGAGTTTACCACTTGTAGTGAGTGGGGTTGGACAGGACTCTCAGACAATGAATAATCCTCACAACTCTTAAGCTTTAACCCTGAGCAAGCTGAGGAATCATAACTGTGTAACCTACGTTTCCTCACATTGACCAGCATATGCATCCAGAGGCTCCAGAGAAAAATAAAAATGGTGAGTACGTGTCCAGCAGCTGTATTCACACATGACCTGAAAGGAGCTCAGAAGGCATCTGAACTTCTAGCAAATGACTGCGGATTAAAACAGCTCTTGAAAAAGCTAACCTGAACACTGTCCAAAGCCAGAGCCAAATCTATTTGCACAGCAGTTCTCCCATGGGCCAGTTCCCTTCAGGTTGCTCTGACAGTGGGTAAACATGCTCTGTTCTACATATAAAAAAGAACACTTTCCCGCCCCTATCCAACCCCCCCATTTGTGGCCTCTGATCACAACTGCAGTAGGTCTCGGGGGCAAACACAAAAAGGAAAGGTGGACACTGAATCCTCATGTTATCAAAACAAGAAATCAAATCCGCATACTTTAAAGGTCTCATCCACAGGCTAAAGGAAAGTTTTGAGGTCAGGAATGTCCACAATGATCAACTGAGATACAAGAGCATCTGGTCACTAAAATCACTTCCCATCGTTTTACGTTTGCTACCTGAAAGATAAGAGGTGGCTTTTCTTAAAACCTTTATTTAAATGCACACAATTGCTTTGGAGCTCCCGAGACAGTAATTTGATTCCAAAGATCTAATTCCCTGTGTTCCTATGCTAACAGCTTGAGTTTTTGTAGGAAATGAACCCTGGGCTTTAACCTTGCTCAGACCATCACCTGATCAAATGGAGCGAGAAAGTTAAAATAAACCTTGTTCTTTAATGCAACAAATCTCCATAGAAACAGGCAGAGGAAAACACAGAGCTTGGCAGCACAAGGATATTAAATCCTGTTCCTTCTGCTCAAGGGTTTCTGGCTCGATAAGGAGGCACAAGAGGAGAGAAATCCTGATACAAACACAATTAAACTGCTGTCAGAAAATCGTAACTACAGTAATAATTGTGGAAAAATTAGTTTATTAACATTGGTTCTGTCCAAAGATGTAAACTAGAAAATAATAATAATAATCCTTGCATTTGATACAGCGTCTTATCACGTCTTCGAGACGTCTCAAAGCGCTTCACAGAATATACTGTAAAGTGAATGGACTGTATATTTTGTGGGAGAAACAAGGCAGCCAATTTGCACGCAGCAATGTCCTACAAGCAGTCGTGGATTGAGTGAATGATTTTTTTTAAGGGTTTATTAACCCAGGAAGAACGATATGTCAATCAACGAACGACCGGGTTCCTAATTACTGCTAGGTGAACAGAGGAGTGTGGAGTAAGGAAACTTCCCCAACATGCCCTGGAATCAAATCCAGGTCCTCTCGCTTTCGAGATGAGTACTCTAACCACTAAACTACAGGACCCCACTCTACCTTTTCACATCAAATGATTGTGTGGGAGTAGCTTAACTTTTCACTGTCAAAGAATCAGAGTACAAGGGGAACATGCAAAGTCTACTGTAGAAATTAGTCTGTCAGCTTAATCCTGGATCAAAAGGTTATGCGTTCAAGACCAAATTGAGATTTGAGCAGATAATCCAAGCTGACACTCCAGTCGAGAGCCGTGTTATCTGAGCTGGAGTCTTTCACATGAGATTTCAATTTCATGTTCAGGTGGATGTTAAAGATTTCACAACAATATTCAAAGGAGACAGCAGTGCCTTCCGGTTTTATGACCTACAACATTCATACAAATTAATTGATCATTCACCTCATGGGTGTAAGTTGGACCTTGTTGGTGCAAATAATTAAAGGGTTCGTCTACAAAAACAGTCAATAAAGTTGACAGCAATTACATGTTTGAGACAAGAGTGTTACAGAAATCGTGTGGAGTCCTGTACTTTAGTGGTTAGAGTACTCGCCTCGCACATAAGAGGACCTGGGTTCGAAATGTTGGGCAAGTTTCCTTACTCCATACACCTCTGTTTACCTAGCAGTAAGCAGGAACCCGATTATTAGTCAATTGGCAGATCGTTTTTCTGGTGGTAATAATCCCTTAAAAATAAATGTGGTCACTCAATCCACGAGTGTTTGTGGGACACTGCTATGCCCAATTGGTTGCCATGTTTAGCCCACAAAATATACAGTCAATTCATTTTACAATATATTCTGTGAAGCGCTTTCAGACATCTCAAAGACGTGAGAAGGCCCTATATCAAATGCAAGGATTATTATTATTTAACTTCTTTTTCTATATCCGCGTTACCACTTTAAAGTTCCATTCCTAAATTGAATTTGCAATTAAAAATATTTTCAGTTAAACATTCAGTTAGGATTCAAAGCGTGAGAGTCAAACACTCTGTAATATGCTGTTATACGACATATTTTTCTCAAACAATTAAAATTAATTCAACAGTTAGAATGAAATGACACGAACACCAACTAAAGCAGTGAAGCATCACAAATAAATTGCCTGTTCCTGAGGTTAATCATTAAAGTCGGTTTCTCGCATAAAAAAATTCCACTTGAAATTCAGTTTGCTCAGGAAACTAACCATTGTAAACAAAAAAATTCCAAATCAAGGCTTAGTTTCTAAGTGTCCACTTCATACAGCTAGATCCTACCTCTACGATTAACAGGAGCCGGTGATGCAGAGCAGCATGGTGACCCAGATCTAAGAATGAACCTGTATTTTTATACCACATTATTATGCTGAACCATCTAAAAGCTATTCACAAGTGATTGCTGGCAAAGGGATTGTTTAAAGGCAAACGTGGTCTCAAGGTCCCCCAAGCTGAACAACCAATCAATCTGGAGAATACCAGGAGTCAGATTGACAACACCCTGAATGTAAACTTCAGAACAAAAATGTAAATTGTTTACTGGCAAAACTTTTTTTAAACTGCCATGTGTAAACATTTACCTATAGTAAGTCTTGATGTCTTTCCCACGCTGACCACACTGTAAATAAGGCATTTACATTATTTGAACATCCAGCTGCCCCTCCTCTCCTGTGAGTAGTATTTCACTAAAGAGTGTCAAATTAGTTACTGCATCCTGAGGTTAGATTTCCCCCTTCCCCAAAACAAATCGACTGATACTGTACCACACATTTTTATCTTGCACAAACTAAGATGATGCACTTCACAAATGTTCAACACTTTTAGTCATAATGACATCCACCTCGCCACTTTCTCCCCACAGGTTCCTTGAGTGATTCAAGCGCTGCCTTTTTCTTAATCTTGCAAGCCACATAGTGATATTTCAAGCTTTGTTTCTGTGAAACAAGTTTGCATACGAGTTGTTGTATCACTTTTGTTGCTGCTCATTCCACGATCTGACAGTTCTCTTTCACAAAATTGGAAATCTTTAAGAATGCTTCCTAAACCACATGGGACCACATGTCTCCACAACTTCCCCACCCACCCCAATTCTCTTCCGTCCCACCCTTCTCTTACTTCCTCCTTTCCTTCCAACACTTTCTTGCTGGATGTGCAGAATTGCATATATCATAGAGCGATTCAGAAGAGTTTAACTATACTCATTCTACCATTCTCCTAATACAATACAAAATTACATTTGTATAACGCCTTTCAAATCGGGAGGACTTCTTATTGTAATACAGCATCAAGTCTGTTTTAAAAAAACAAGTTCAGTGGCCTGGCTTCATATACACTCAATGATATTTTTTTTCCATTTGTTACTCTGTGGGTCAAGAAATACTTTTTGGTGTCTGTTCTTAAATGGCTCAAAAGTTGAATTGGCGAACTTCTGTCCTACGTATTGTTCAACAGGTCCTCAATATCTCTCCCAGAGAGCCACCATTGATGATGAGCTGAGATAGCCAACTCTAACCACTGTACTATCAGTCCTCATTTTAGAGATGTTAATGATTTTTGCTTTGTTTATACTAATATTATTCCTGACATTTGATACAGCATCTTTCATGTTGGGAATACATCGCAAAGCGCCTCATAGGATTTACTGTAAAGTGAAGGGACTATACTTTTGTGGAAGAAGACAGCAAAGTCCAACAAACAACCAGGAAGTGAACAGCCAATTTGATTTGGGGGATTGTTGGCCAGGACATGGGGAGAAACTCCTTCTATTTTCCAATAGCGCCAAGGCTTATAACAACAATTAAACAGTTTTATTGGCAAAACAACAACAAGATAATAATAATAATAATAATAATCCTTGCATTTGATATAGCGCTTTTCACGTCGGGAGGACGTCCCAAAGCGCTTCACAGAACACACTGTAAAGTGAATTGACTGTATATTTGTGGGCGAACGCGGCAGCCAATTGCGCACAGCAGTGTCCCACAAGCAATCGTAGATTGAAAATGACCAATTTATTATTGTTTTTGGTTTTGGAGGGATTATAATTAGGCGTATAGCGTAAGGAAACTTGCCCAAGGTTTCGCCCTGTGCTTGGAATTGAACTCAGGTCTCTCACTTGCAAAGCGAGTGCTCTAGCCACTGAGCTACAGGACTCCTTACAAGATTACATTTGTATAGTGCCTTTCATGTCGGGAGGACATCCCAAGCCCAAAGCACAAGTAGATTTATTACATCTCTACTAAGATGTTTTGGCTCTGGCTAAACAAAGCTCGTAAATGTGCTTCTAGAACTATAATTCCTGTATTTGAAGCGCTCCAGGGCGGTTTCCCGAATGAAGGGTGCTATATAAATGCAAGTTGTTGCCGTTGTTGTAATTTGCTGGTTTTGGGTCCAAAAACTCAGACCCCGTG